ATATTCTATTTTGGGTGTTTCTGCATTTTAAGCTCACATTTGAACACACCAGCTTAAATCCTGCCAGACAACGTGCCTGATGATGGTTTCCTGCCGACTTGGTCCAACAATATGTCATAAGCAAAATATCAAATCTGGCATTACTGTTGACGTACAGTTTAACTTGACCTTTTCAACTGAGCCACTGTCAGTGATGCATTTCTAGGTTATAAAAACTAGATTTTCAAATGCATCTTCGCAAACAGTAATAATTTCAGGCTCATCTGTGAGGAGGAATCCTCCAAAGCTGATCAGACTGAAACACATATAATAGAGCATTATCCACGGCACAGCACTGATTTAATAAGAAGTGTTATATCAAGTCAAAGCTAATATAAAGAGTCCAAATGTTATCCGACAGGGAATTGTATTGTATTTAATTATTTTTTCCTACAAATGCAAATGTACCAGAATAAATGACTTATGGCTGCAGTGATATTTAAAAGGACAGACATCATCTGAATTTCTTATCAAGTTAAAAGTAGTATAAGCCTGTTGTGCCTTGGAGACAAAACATGACTGAAACATTAATTCATGAAGTAAAGTCAACTGTGTATGCATTTCCATATGTTTCCATCTTTAAACTATGCTCCAGTTCATGCTATTCAGCAAACATCTACACTGTCTTCTGTGTGTAATGATAATCTCACTATAGTAGTTATAACTAAATCTTTAATGTCCTCTGCTGTACCCGGCAGCCCTGAGGAAGCCCATCCCACGGTCACTGAAAGTCATACCAATTTATATTGTACTGCAGGAGCCTGTATTGTAACCGACACCCTGTTTTCACTGCACTAAAACAGGAAGATATTTCTGTGCATATACGAGTTCCTCCAGTGCAATCTTTGGTAGAAGCCCCAAGCGGCTTTAGGCATCATTCTGTCTCTCTTTTTATTCTCTTTTCACTCCTCTCTCTTTTTCCCGGCTCCCGTTCTCATCCACCCTCCCCAAGTTTGCCCAATTCCCCCTCGGTTCAGCGGCAGGGCACTAGGTCACGGCACTGGCTTGATTTTCACACTGTTCCCTCTACCGAACGCCACATCAAGTTAATCAGGGTTAACAATTGCGGCGGTGCCTTGCTGAGCAGGGCTCCCACCGGCTTAGCGTGGCCTGGCTCTGGTGATACAGATGGGCTAGTAATCTCTGTTCTTGGAGCAGAGGGGACAGATGAGGGCGGAGGTACATTGTGGTTAGCTTGGTGGGTGCGGGTGTGGGATAGTCGTGGTCAGAATGCAATTAAAACGGCGACACCGAACTGAGGAAAGTTTGTGATGAAAAGTGGGGACGTGTAAATTTAAGATAGGATGATATTTCCCAGAGGCGCCGCAGCAGAAACAGTAATTAGTTAAACTTGAAAAGATAACAACCCCCGTTTTTCAAGAGATTCTGTAAACTAGCTTTGTAAACTTTAATGGCAAAAAAAAAACAAAAAAAAACACAAGGAATAATATACAGCAATGATATATGTCTCATGTCTCATGTTCTCTCTGTTAAGAAGCTCCTCTCTCACCTTGTTTCTTCATTTGTGGGGCTCAATACTTAGCCAGAAAATTTTTTTTTTTGGCTCCTTTCACCAATGTTTACCTCAACAATTAATGCTTATTTCTATGCTTCCAGAGCAGGCCTGTCTACATGACATATCTGACTAAAATTTTCATGTGAGGAATTGAGGACCGACAGAGATGCATTAGAGGAACTAAAAAAGGGGGAAAAGGTGCTGTAATGACAAGTAGAAATTAGTATTCTATTCACAGAGTTTGAAAACTAATTAAACGGTTTGAAAAGGTGTAAAAAGTGACATAAGTATCCTTAATCCCTCATGTGCTGCTCTCATCTCATCGACCACACAGGTCAAGACTTGAAACAGAACTAGTGCGAAGTCAAAGGTCGAAAAGACCATCAGAATTACAAATCCAGAGTAAGTGTATAATGTTTTAAGATCAAAGAGAGGGGGAAGAATGTAGTTAGAAGAAAACTTTCAGCGCTGAAGAAAGCTGAAGCGTGACCCATTTGGCAAAACAGAACTCTGTGCAGTAGCAGCTGGCTAGCTTGCACAACACAGCCCAGGGTGCCCCGGCTATAGGCTACGCAGACTTAATTAATCATTCAGTCAGATGAAGCATTACACAACTCTGCTTTCCTGATAGGACCAATGAAGAAGAAAAAAAAAAAAACCTCTGCAAGTCACACAGCCCTGGGTGTCAGAAGTTGAGCTCAATTTTTCTGTAGGAGTTCCATTTCTTGCAGAAACCAAACAAAACCAGACTCTACAGATGACCTTTTAAACTAAAGAAACTAGGCTAAAGTCTAACTTTGGCACGAGAATGTCTTGTATTTTACCCTTTGTTGTGGCAGAGTGTCTGTCGCAGTGCATCCTCTTTTTCTCCCCATTATACCACAACTCAAGCACTCCGCGTCTCCCTTTTTTTCTTTTTTTTTTCCTCCCCATAACCGCCTTGCTTTCGAGATGTTGCACCTCTTCAGAGCGACACATGTATTATTAACACGGAATTCAAGTGCGATCCATGCAGGGACACTCACAGACTTTCACAGGTTTCTGTTGGTGCCACCATTTTGATTTGACTGTGGCTAGAGCAGTTTTTGCACAAACATTAAGAATCCGTGACACCAGTGCACGACTAAATATTTCATACACTTGGCAGCTCAAAAGCTCAGAAGTTCAAGCTTGAGAGCACTCCTATCCATTTATTACCCATCTCAGGTCACTTCATGAAAGTCTTATAATGACCAAGTTGAAGGTATTATTCCTGAACTGCTAAGTTGTCCCACGAACAGGGAAAGGGTCTTGTAAAGTGCACGTGAAAGGGCAAGAAAAAGGCGATATGTGGGGAAAAGTGGTGGCTGGTGCTGCGGTGTGGCTCTGTCCACACTCCCAAGTGTAAAATATGTATGTTAGGCTAAGCTGCAATGTCCCGCAAGCCCCAGTGTTGCAGCGCATCATCCAAATTCATCCCTGCCATCTATCCAAGCCCAGTTTGTGAGGGTCAATCAGTGATCAAGCCTGGGGAACGAGATTGAAGAAGAAAAAAAACACAAAACATTAAAGTCCCACTGAACTCCACCTGCCCTCGTAGCCCCCCCAGTCGAGGAAAAACGCAGTTCACCAAAAGTTCATGTCCATTACCATCACCGAATTTGGCTGTATATGCCTCGTAACCTATCTCTGTGATTGGCAGGGAGGGAGGAGGAGCAAGCTTACCAAACTTACCCCGACAACTACTGTTAATATGACACACGACGTGTTCTGCACTTCTGACCCTGATATGCAGGGTCGCTGTTCGGTCAGACTGCCGCTGCAGGCCAAGTGTGTTTGCAGTTTGTGTGTGTGTGTTCGTATGTGTGTGTGTGTGACGGATGAGTGTGGGGGTTGGTGGATTGGTGTGAAGGGGTGGGTGGGGGAATCAAGTTAGGGAAAAAAAAAATAAATAAATAAATCAAAACCCCAAAATATCTCTGTTACTGGCCCTGTGTCGTAACATTTCTAAGCATGCCCCCGCCCAACATCAAAATGGGTTCAACTAAAGTTCATGGTAGAGGCCCCGCCCCCTCGCTACCACGTCACCAATGAGACAACATGTCGTCATGAGCGAGAAATAGGTTAGGTCAGTTAGGTTACAGCGACCCCCGGTGGGGCCATGTCCACTTGTTGTGACCTGTAGCTGCTTTCTGTGTTGCTTTTAAAAATAAAGTAGGCTATGTTTTAGTCTTTCATGTATCCCTGTTGTCAGTTTATTTAACTAAATTTGTTGTTAGCTAACATTTTTTTTCTATTTTTGAACAATTATAAATTCAGTTACCAACAACTGTTTTGAAAATTGATACATATATATATTCATATGAAATACAGATTTCTGATTTGAAATACGATGGCAAAAACACTTTGGAATTATATTAATTCAAGTGCTGCAGATTTAATAATAATTTGACTAAATCAATTATTTGTTTAGTAAACAAAATCTATTCTGTTACAAGCTGAGAATATTGTGATAAGGGAATGGTTTTTCATGCATGCTTTACATTTTTTTAATACAGCAAACATAAATATAGTTTGTCATTTGAATTTCTACAATGTTCATTTTGCCTAATTTTTTTAATTTTATTTATTTTCATTTTATTTATGATACATTTATATATTTTGTTAAGACAATATACATATTAAAATACTAAAAAATATGTTCACTGGTGAAATCTATTCTACTCAACGGTATATTAAATGCTGTGGTATATACAAGGTCATGCTTGAGGAAATACATTTTCAGAAACAGATTTTTTAAGTTAGAGTTTGTAAGATAAATGAAAAAAATATATAAATGCATAATCTATTTTTTTTTATAACTGGATACAAAAGCAATTATCTTTATTATTTTCCAAAAAGAGAAAAAAATTACTATTATGATAAATTATATGACTTATCCCTAACACAATTCATTAAATAATATTTATGTTTAATATTTTGTTCATGGTTCCTTAAAAATTAAATAATCAAATATGTAAAAATACCAAAATACTAAATTATTTTAAAAAATGGATGAAGTTTACTGGCAAAATACATAAATATTTCTTTTATATAAGTATTAACTATTTTACTTTTATCAAAATATAACATTCTAAATTTGATGAGTGAATAATACATATAAAAAAGTACTCCCTTAAAAACTTTAAGTATTGGTTTTATTTTAAAATATTCCTGATAAACCTCCAGTCAGTTTGTAGGTTTCCTATCTGAGGTGAAAAACCTTCCAAAAAAAACTTGCAAGTAAAGAAGTATATGAAAATTCAACTCATGTGAATTATACTGTATTTATATACAGTATAATAATTATATAATATAAGCATTATTATCATTATTGTTAGTAGTATTTTTAGTATTATTGTATTTTTTTCTCTGCTCTTATAATTACTCTGTACACACATTCGGTTTTCCTGCAGAATAACGAAACACAAGCCAGTCAAGTATGGTGAAAGTTTATGTTTTTGTATATTGAGACAAGGAATACAAAAAATTAATGTACATGTTAGGCGCCCACAAAAGATCTAATAAATAAATACATAATAAATAAAGAAATAAATATTCTCAGTTCATAACAGATTTTTGGTGTCTGGATATAAAATTTGAACAAATTATAAAAAACAAACATCTAAAGCATTTGGGGAAAAAAAAAACTGTTGTTAGACTGATAGCTGTGTGTTTTTCTGTGTTACCACCTGACACAACCATTAGATGTTTTTCCCTAAATGTGTTTTTTTTGTAATAGTGCACTTATGGAATTTTCTGGCTGAAGAGGATCACACATCAACACATCAGACTCATCAGTAATGGGGAACACATACTTTGGAAAAAAGACTGAGAGCACCCACCTGTGTTGAAAGTATGTACTACATCGCCATCAAAGTACCACAAATTTGCATTGCTCAGCTCTTTTCAAAGCGGGAAACTTGTTTCATCATTTAACAGCCTTTACACCAGGCAGATCTGAAAATTTAATAGCCTCCTTCAATTAAGTTTTGAGAGATATCTGTAGATTTTTTTATAAGGCAGATTCCAATATTTGTAGAATTAATTTACCGATAGATAATGTTGAGCCAAAGTGTAATATCTCCTAATGTGACCGTTTTCACAACAAAGACTGCAAGTATTTGACGTTTCCCTGAGAATTTTATTAAAACCCACATTAATTCAATTCTTTTGGGTTAGTGTTAGTAGTTCTTTTACAAAGATTGACCCAACACATTGCTTCAATGATAGAGGCCACTTTGAAATTTTGAAATGCATAAATACAGTTTGCTAAGAATCAAACCAAGAATCACAAAAATCACATGCAAGAGCTTTTGTAAATATTTAGGTGTGTTCAAGGAGAAACCTTTTTTATATCAGATGTAGATTAAATGATTGTGAATCAAGAAGCAGATTGTCATAATGTTTGATCAAGGTTAAAATCCATCTGATGTATCTGCTAAGTAAAAGTCTGGCCAAATCTTTTAAGTATTTTACTTAAGAGGAGAATAAAGCCTTGTTTTTCTACATGCCAAAGAAACTCTTTACAGATAAAAATGGTTCTGTTCAGGAGCTGATAAATATTCTGAATGCCTGTTTGTGCAGAAGATGAGGTAAGTATAAAAGGCTAAACAGCTAATTGATTCTCCTACAGCACAAAGTAAGAGGTCAGCTGAATCCACAACCCTTTTGCATGTTAATTAATTTAACAGTCATTTAACGGGTTAAGCAGAATGTGTAATGCACCAAGTTGGTGCTGCAGAACACAAACGGACGGGAACCATTATCAACCAAAGCTTGCACATGTGGTGCGATCAGGATTCTATATTTCCATGGGAAATATACATATACAGCAAAACAATGCTTTCATCTGCCTCTGCACACAAAAACTGAGGAGTCCAAGCTTTAGGGAAACACTCTGGAGGTGGTAAGGTGTGTGCTGTTGGGTGTGTGCACAGAAAGAGGAAAATGAAGGATTGGAGGAGGAAGACGGCTTAAAATACTGGTATTTTCTTTCCGGCCCATATTTCAAAAAAAGTAACTAGCTAACTCATATTGTACATTTCTGAAAAAAAACATCAATTTTCTTGTATAAATGTGGTACAGGTCTGTTAGCACTGTATCTGCAAATAGCTACCTTCCATATCCACTTTTCCTGTTGGATTAACCACAGCTGTCTGGGCTGTCAGCTTCTTCCTCAGCAGCAGGCTCAACCAGACGGTCATATGAGAAAGCCAGCATCATCTGCATTAAAAATATTAGATCAGTATTAATACAAAATGTGATAAGCTGTTCAGTGAGAAAGCTCTGAGAGGCAAGGGAAATGAATATGTGATTCTCTACTATGATTTCGTCTGTTGTCTATATTCTGTTCATTGTTTTACTAATTTTTTTTTTTCCCAAAAGTTTCTGCGGATTAAATCAAAAGGTTTGACTCCTAAAAGGTCTTTTCAAGATTTCACCAAGGACAACAGAAAGAAGAAGAGCTACTGTCAAACCAAGGAAAAATACTGTACATGATACTATTATTTAATACACTGTAGCACAAAGATACAATGTATTAAATAGAAAAGCTATAAAAGGGCTGTGAAGGGAGGTTTATGGTGGATCCAATATGGAAGAAAGAACTGTAAGATTGGCTTCCTTTTACCTTTTTTTAAGTGCACACACACTGAGTGCTTCTCTCACAGGCACACAGCCTGGTTTTCTTTCCTTATTTCTCTGTGATAGTGGAAACATTTGCTTGTTGGGCTGTGGTTTGCCCACGCTTCATTACAAGCTTTATAAGCATTTTGTTATGCTTGTTTGTTCCCTAATCCGAGGGGAGCTGCTAGGTATAAGATGTCAGCTCACATCTCCTATTCCTAACTTTAAACCCTTCTCTGTGGTTTGTTTGTTTCTTATTTGTTCTAATTAGATTCTCACTGTAATTTCTGCTTGAAAAAGGAATGAGATGCACATTTACACAAATTACGGGGTCTGATTTTAAACATTGTCACACGGGCAATGAGGGCGAATCAAAGAGTACTTGCTATTTTTATTCATATGAGCGCACAGCAAATGGGTTGGGTGAAAAGAGGGTGTGGGGATTAATCTTAATTATCCTCTCATACAGTCGCATCATTCACACCCCATAAATGAAAATCAGTAATCTACTGCAGAGAGGAATTTAGGGAAGGTAATGTTCCTTTCAATGGTGAATTTACATTTGTTTTATTTAAGTTGTTTCTGGGTTGGGGTATAGTTTGACATTGGTGCCATTAAAAAACCTGAGTTTGTGTATTTTTTTCAGTACCTTAGTTTGAGGAATATAAACAATTTAGCCAATTTTTTCAGTTAACAAAATATGGTAAAATTCTCAGTGAATCAGTGTTAAAGAAAGAACTTTGGTTGTAGAAAATATACTCTAAAATAAGAACGTTTTTCTGAGATCAGGAAATACATGATCAATTAAAAAAAAAATAAAAAAAATCTGAAAATGCATTTGACACCAGCTTTAGTATCTTGATCCTAAATGCTACAGATAGATGTTGGTCAAAACTCAAAAAGTATGGTTCAATACCCAGCCTTAGTGGTTAATAAGGTTCCATTCATTTAGATTTGGTTGAATCTCTGCACAACAATAATGTCTGCCAAAACTGTGAGTGGAGAAATAGTCATCTAAGCCTTCACATGGTTACATAAACTGTTAATTCCCCAAAACAGTAACAGCCATAATTCCTTTACAAACCTGGGTCCATGTATTTAACATAACCACAGACATGCTGATTTTCTAGTTTTTTTTTTCTCTCGCAATCTCATTTTCTTTGACTTACCGTTAGCAGAGCCAGCAGTGCCATCATCACCCCCAACATGATATACATGTTCTCAGTGAGGCCACCGGCCCACAGCGGGCCCAGGATGGTAGCTAGACCTCCCACTGAGCGACGCACTCCCTGACTGAATCCTGCAACACCGAGACAAGACACAAATTCACAAAAGCTCAATCAAAGACTGTGTACTATGGTTAATGCACTAAAGGCACACTCACAAAAAATACAAGGTGCAGGACTTTTTACAGCTACAATGAGCTATAAAAAGCAAAGAAAAAAATCAAATACTATTCAAAAAGCAATACATTCTTGTGTCCACTAGATGGTGCTGTTTCTTACCTTGTGTTCTCTCAGCAGTGACTTTGGAGAAGAGGGAAACCTGAGCCACAGCGACAAATGGCAAACCCAAAACCTGCAGAAACACCCCAATGATGAACTCGGTCAGCTGCCATGGAAAACCCCCTGCAGAAAACACAAAGTGCAATGGAAGAGAAAACAACACAACAGTTATTAAGTATGATACATACATGTTTTACTGGGGCATTTTTGATCACAAAGATTCCTATATCCATTAGGTTGCTTGTCAAATACTTTGGATCTAGAGTATATATGGAGTATGTGTACCCAGATTTCAGGGTGTTGAACTTACAGGGTTATTCAGATAACTCTGTATATGTGCTTTAACGAAAGGTCTCAAAAGTCACACAAGCAAACATGAGTAAATAATGCACCTTCTGCAGTTAAACTGAGACTTAGAGGGAGATCAGAGAAGAGGGGCTTGGGAAAGATCTGGGGGTGCAATAATAATAATGATAACAACAGCAACTTAAAATGTAGTGCTGTCGGACCTAGTGGGTTAGCCAGGAAGATGAGGCACCAGACACCAGAGATGTTGCAGATGATCAAACCAATGGCCAGGACCACCCGTTCGGCGACACGCCGGCTCAGCCAACGCACAAAGAGGAAGCCGGCGATCACCTCCACACCGCAGAGACAGTACATGACGCTGTTCTCCAGCTCCCCGTAGCCAAAGTACTTCTGAGTCAATGGAGTCACCATGGTCTGAGGAGGGAATGGTGAACACATTCTGGCACAGTTGACACAAGACATTTTGGTCTCTCAGTCTCACGTTTGCCGTAAAAATATTTCATTCTTGCTTACAAATGTAATTACATGGGTTTGTTTATTTCAAGTCAATATCTTTCAAAAAAACTGGAGATCATCGCACTAGATTAAAGACTGACTAAGGAAGTATAAAGGGAACATAAATGATATTTATGTGTGTCTGTCTGTGTGGCTTTACTGCACCTCCAATGCAGTCTGATTGAAGAGGGTGATGAACTGAGCAGCCAGCAGCACAACCACCTCTTCTCTCAGGAACTCTTCAGAGACAGAGATAAAATCAGAGAGAGAACAAAGACCGAAGAGTGGGAGACCAACCGCAAGGTCAGAGCAAAGAGTGGGAGAATAGCGAGCAAAGAGAGAGAGATAAATTAAATTATTTACTGGAATTTCCACCATTTCATTGAAAGACCTACAATGCTACTCTTTTTTTCTTTTTTTTTGCCACGTTCACCTGTTTACTCAATTATTCAATCCAAAGTTTTCAAAGTCTGCTAGCAGACTTTTACACTTTACAGAAATGAAAAGAAATCATTGTCAGTCTGGCACCGTGGGAAAATACAGCCAGAAACCTCAAACTGTAAAGAATGTATTTGAAAATGGTCAAATTGCCAGCCAACAGGTAAATTATACATGGTTTATAGGTAAGGAGATAAACTTGTAAACAGACTGCTTTGATCCTTTAAGAGGAGAAATGACTTATTTACCTAATTAACTGTCATTTACCTCGGGATATGCTGAAATTCTTAAAGGGGCTGGAGGACTCTTGGGTGTCTGATGGTGTTGGAGAGGGAGGTGGGGAGATGTGATTCAGCGTGGCATTGGAGGCAGCAGAGATGTTGTTTCCTGAGGGGTTGGGTGTCACCACTGAGCCGTAAGACCCCACCAGCTCTTGGGACCTCATTAGCGGCTTTCCCTCATCATTGTCCTCTTCTTCGTCTTCCACAAGCCCTTGCTCATTCTCCTCTTCCCCGCTCTTGCTTGTCGAACTTTCCTGTGCCTTCCTTCTCTCCAGAGGTGGTAGGTCCCAGTACATGAAGACCACCACCAGCTGAAGGAGAATCCACAGCAGGCACATGAACAACTGCAGGGGGCGGAAGAAGAGTGTTACAGCTTTTCTTTGTTGGGGAAAAGAATATGTCCCAAAGGTCAAACTGCCATATTTTGGTTCTTACCCCAGGTGCAGTGTATTTATTAACCACAAAAGGGCCCATGTGGAAATCACACAGCCTCAGGAAGATGTTAAATGCTGGACCTGTATCAACCACAAAGTTAAAACATGCATTTTAACTATATGTAAAACCTTCAAATGAATCATTCTACATAGTCTGGGTAAAGAGCAAATAAATCTCAAGAGGAACTACAATCAAACAGCCTATTTGTTTGATTCATCATGTGTAGTTGCCCATGACCTTTCATTTAGCAGATGTGCCATGAACAATAATTATGTGAAATGTGTCAGGAGGCTAGATGGCCAGTAATCTCTGCCCACTCAAATCTGGAAAGCTGTGGGAATCTTGTGATATTTTCCATGTAAAGAATACAAATACAAGCCATTACAGTTCATAAAATTCAAATCAAATGATCAGCAGGCAGTCTCTGGTGTTTGCCATCAGAGAGCAGAGGAGCACTGACCAATCAGAAGGCCAGCTTGTCGACATGCCATAACAGCAGCAAATACTGTAGCACGGTCCTCTGGAGCAGTGCTTCGGGTCAGGAAGCCAAAGATAGATGAGCCAGCACCCGTGCCAATGCCTGAAGAAAATACATATTTCATTAGAAAATATCAGCACTGAAACATTAAGATTGAAACCTGGAGCTCTGCGTCCTGGTCGGAAAGGATAAACATCGTCATTACATGATGTAAACTTGTATGTTTTCAGATGAGAGAACTTCATCTTGCCAAGCTATGCGGTTTGCTGTATTCTACAGGCATCCAATCTGCTAAATGGATTTCCAGTCCCAGTATTTCTTTGCACATACTCACCTGCTACCAATCTGCTTGACAGTAAGAGCCACTTGGAGTAGCCCATGAAATACATGAAATTACCTGGAGAGTGAAAAGGAGTAGAAAAATAAGGTTGATGGTTCATATGTATGACATTTAAAATGGGCACTTCAAATGGACCTTGTGTACATGCTTTGCTTGGAACTCTGAAGGCAACACCACCAGGCTAAACTGAGTGGTGGTGTAAATAAAGAAAATATGAGTGACTCACCAACTATCTCAAAAACATTGGCAAACAAGATGATCTTCTTGGTTGTTCGTGTACTGTCAGACAAGTGACCAAACAGCGGCCCTGACAGGAGGCCACTTAAGCTGAATGCGGATAGGGCCAAACCCAGGAAGTAAGGTGCTGCATCTAAAGTCTGCAAGTACTTCCATATTGTGGGCAATATCACAGCTGGGGAGACAGATGTGAGGGGAATTAGTCTCAAGTTTATTGTTATTATTCAAAAACAACTAACATATATTATGATATATAAATATAATCTATCTATCTATCTATCTATCTATCTATCTATTAGTATGTATTAGCTAAAGGCTTAGAAATACTCTTATTGAAATGAAAAAACTGGACTCAAAACACCTTATGTGTCTTGGGCCATAACTGGAAGACACAACACATATGATGTGAACATTGTCTATTGTAAAGCTGTTGAATTTAACCCAGAATAACTGGCTTAAATGGAGGTGGATTCAGATTCTGAGTCAGTCTTCCCTTCTATGGAGCCATGCAGACTCTTTGGAAATATCCCAACCACACTGTACCTCTGTTGGACTACCTACAAGTGAGCAAAATCACAGATCATCACATCAAAGATCCATTACCATGGCATCTCACCTTACTGCAACCACTGCGACTCCCCTGAGCACTTCAGGTGGTGCAATATCACTAATAAATCATCTCACTATCATTGCACACATATTTTCCGTGATAACCATAAAGTCATGATTAACTTTTTACCTTCCATCAAAACGTGTATGTTTAACTATTAATGCTTTAGTGCTTGTGTTGCATGCAGTTTTGACTGAAGATCTAGAAGCAAGCTAAGATGAGTGTGAAACAAGGCCTGTCTGAAATGTTTGCCATGTCAGTGCTAGTAATAATGAAAGAGCCACCGCAAGAACACACTGCAAAGGTTAACTCTGGCTGCAGTGGTAGCTCTCTCTCCCTGTCAGTGCTTCCAGCCTATTTATCACATAGACAAAGGGTAGTGCTGACCCAATACAATCCAAATTCAATTTCTGGGTCAGAAGACACACAATAAAGCATGTTCTCAGCAAATTCCAGAGAGTTAATAAATAATTGCTCAAATTTTCTTGTCATCTGGAGGAATGCCATGGTTGCATCACCCTGACTGAGACACTTGTATGTGGGAGTGATGAAACTACTTGTCATGCGCATGGACTCTTGCTTCTTTGTCACATGTTTTAGGACATTTTATCTACAGTGAGCAAGCAGAAAATTATAGAACCCCCCTATGTAGATTTGTTACGGCACTGTTGTATTAAATTGCATTACAGTGTGCTGTATCCAATTTTGTATGCATCTTTCTGAACCTTACTTACAGTGTAAGACAAGGGCTGGCATTAACTAGAGTGTGGTTAGTGGTGCTGTTCATTGAGATTGCTTTAACTTGTATGGTGTTCCCATCACATGTGTTCGTAAATACAGTGGGGTCCAAAAGTCTAAGCCCACTTTCCCATGCAAGTGAATGGGAAAGTGCAAATGATTGTTAAACACCTTTCAAAATAAAGGACCAAAATGTTCAGTGAATAAAGTCAAACACACAACAAATAAAGCTGTAGTGACAACAAAAACTGAAAGTTTGAGCTATAGGTAGAATTTTGGCATAATTATTTTGTCTTGTTTGTTTTTTAACGTATTGAGAACATAACTGTAATTATGGCTCAAGTAAAATTTGAGTAAACTAGGCCTGATGTGCTGACTAAGACTAAAGTTTCGGTTAAATGTTAACCATTCTAGAGCATGAATCAGGTGAGAAGACGGGGCTCATATTTATGGGTTTTAACAACCTGAAAAAAAACAATCAACAGAAAAATTCATTTAAGGGTGAAGCTGCAAGGGGGGAGTTTTGACTCACTTCTGTACTTAGTAAATTTAAGTATTCTTTCCCAGATAGGCTCATATGTGTGTTCAAAACACCTCTTCAGACATAAAGAAAAAAAAAAACAGATGAGCAGATCAAGTTGTCAAACAACTAAGTTATAGTCGTGTCTGCTCCATAGTCCCAAAGTGTGACAGTGAACAGTAAAGTTCACTCTACATGGCATTTAACACTCCTCTATTACTAATCAAAATATATGACTGCCTTTGTCTACAATAGCTTGACACACGTAATGAAATATGACTACGTTGTTATCAGACGCATTAATGCATTTAGATGTCCATGGACCTGCCACAATAACATCCCAAAAACACATCTTACCATATTCCACGCCGCTAAGAAGAAAAATGAGCCCAATGGTGAAGAATGTCAGCTTCTTTTTTCGTCGATTATCCATCGTATTTGTCTGCTATAACCTTTCTATACTACGACTGTACACGTTCATTCTTCTTCAAGATACATTTTAATTCTTGTCTCTCTACAAAAAACCGCATCTGACATAATCCTGAGTGCGATGCTTCCAATTACAGCCGACAGCAAGGGAATGCTACCAAGCCTGTCAGCTCCCAGTAGGACAAATGCTTAAAAAAGAGACACATATTGTTTTACATGTCCTAACAAATGCACTGCGAAGGTTTCTGTTCGTGAGGCGTCGCAAACTCTTTCAGCAGGTTAAACTTGAGAATGCAGCTCTGCAAACATTGCACAAGCAAACGCACCCGGACGCTCCTGCGCAGATAAATCCAACCTACATCTAACTACATCACTTCCGGTTGTCTCAACATAGCAAACACCTTGGCCGAGCCCCAAGAACTGAACCCAATGCTCCATGTGACTATTGTGTGTGCTGTGATTCAGTAATAATGAAATTTAGACAAAACAAGAGCGCCTGTGATTAATTATTTTTGAACAAGTTTCATTTGATTTTCACAAAAAAATGAATGAAAATTATAAAAAATTAAAAAAAAAAATTAAAAAAAAATGGTTAAGCATGTTCTAAAACCTAAAAAAAGATCATAAGCTTTGGGGGGGGAGTAAACTAAAAAAGAGAAAATCGAAGTTATGATATTTAATCGTGTGTTACATACACAATAATAAAAAAGGCCTACAGCATTATTATAAACTGCACAAGTGTTACACTGAAAAAGGTAGACTTGTCACCAGGTGAGCAAAAAGCCCACAGTACGGTGCAGTGCATGATGTGTCAAAGATACAAGCTCTAATCTGTCTACATCCCATGATGGTAAAATTGGTGTTTCTGTGGCTTTCCACCCTAAAATAACTACTTTGATTAAACACTGAATGCTTTTAACTATTTGGACATGCAATCTATTAAATTTCAAGTCACTAATCATTAGCACAGTCAGCTACAGAACCTACAGCTGCATGACTGAAATATTGCTATTGACTTTCAAAAGCATGCAGTATACCACCAAACACCAAGCATCGCTATGAGGAATAAAACCTGCCTGACTTCTTCATGGCATGGATTCCACAAAATGTTGGACACCTTCCTTTGAGATTCTGGTCCATGCCGACATGATTGCATCACATAATTTCTGCAGATTGTCAGCTGCACATCACACCACATCCCAAAGATGTGGTGTGATGTGGATACTGGACTCAGGTCTGGTGACTACAGAGATCAATCAAGTACACTGAACTCATTGTCATGTTCATGAAACTAGTTTGAGACAGCTTTTGTTTTTTTCACACGGTGCATTATTATGCTGGAAGTAGCCATTAGAAGATGGTAAATTGTGATTGGTACTAAGAGGCCTTAAGAAAGAAAACACTCCCCAAACCACCACCACCAGCCTTGAATGTTGACACAAGACAGGTTGGGTCCATGGATTCATGTTGTTGCCAAATTCTGACCTTGCCTTTCTGTCAACTCCAACTATTCTGGCCACTCCCATCTGACCTCTCTCCTCAACAAGGCATTTCCGACCACAGAACTGCTGCTCACTGTCTTTGGTGTTTTGCCCCATTCTGAGAAAACTCTGGAGTAAACTCTTGTGTGTGACAATCCCAGGGGATCAGCAGTTTCAGAAATACTCAAAACAGCTGATTTGGAACCGACAATCATGCCACAGTCGAAGTCACTGAGATCACCCCCCCCATTTCTGATGTTTAATGTGAACATTAACTGAAGCTCCTTGCCTGTACCTGCATGATTTTATGCATTGCACAGCTGCCACAGGATTGGGTGATTAGATAATTGCATGAATAAGCAGGTATACAGGTGTTGTATATTGTTTAAGAATTTCTTTCTTAAACAATATACATTACTGTAGTTTTTTTTTTTAAGGCTACACGCTCACTCTACAGCATCACTACATTCAAATGTTTCTTTAAATCTTTTCAAGTACATATCAGGAGTCTGTGTGAGTTAGTGGCAGTGTTACTCCCCATCCTGTGACATCAATTACCACTGACATTGAGGAGCCTGTGTTGTACACAAATGCTGCCTCTTCACCCTTAATTCAATTTTCTGTCTCCCAAGAGTCCACATTTTAGTTTGCCTCAAATCACGCAAATATAGTAGAACAGTAGCCTATGGCATCCCGGATAATAACTTCCCATCTGTGAGCTGGGAGCAAAATAATTTAATTTCCTAAAATACTTGTCAGTGCATCAAGTCAACATCTGAAATGTTTTCAGCACTAAGAGGCTGTTTGGTCTGGGAATTTTTCAAGGATGCAAAGCATTAAAAAACAGATTTAGATAAAAAAAAAAAAAAGAGAAGTGATTAAAACCAAATAAGGTAGCAGCTACTCGAGTCCTAAAATAATGATTTCAAAGCGTCTTTTCACTGGAAGCAGCACCCTGCATATAACATTCCTGTTACTCTGTATAGACTGTCCTCATGGTGAACACTTCTCATTGGAATTGTAATAAAGGGGCAGCTGTGGCTCAGGACGTAGAGTGGGTCGTCCATTAATGAGAGGGGCGGTGGGGTCCTTGGGCAAGATTCTTAACCCCAAACTGCCCCTGATGGCTGGTCCCAATATAAGTGCAGTCCATTTACCATTTAATTAGTACCTATAGTCCCTTACATGGGAAAGAGTTTGTGGAAAGAGATGCTGTCCACTGTGCCATTGTTTTTTAAATATAAAATAAAGCAGTGTGTAGCCAATCTAAATCCCTATGGACTTCGAGTTGAGGCTGAACACTTAAGAACTAACTTAGAAACAACAATTAAAAGGTATTACATTTTTGTTTGTGTAGCACTATAAAAGAGAAGTATCTTCTATCTTCATAAAGCATTTCTTGCCTTCAGAGTTGTATATCAGTACTTCATTAATTTTAGGGATAAAAGTAAAAACATTGTATTAATTTAGGTTAAGAATAAATATAAATTTGATGTATATTGTATATCCTTTACATTATTTCCAAAGACCACTACCCTGTGAGCTATATGGCCCAGTAAGCACACTTTCTTGAAGAAACCTTTGCCTGCCCTCTTTATTAGAGCACACAGCTTGCCTGCAGTCTACATATTGAGAAAAAGTCTTACAGATGAACTTGTAAAATAAAACCAAATTCAACATGTTTGAAAGAGCGCTTCAGCAGCTGCTGAGGTATAGGAAGAAAACCTCTAGGAAAAAATATGCCAAGACAAAAAATAATATATGATCCAAGATGACCAACAACTGACATCAAAGAATCCTTTTGTATAAAAGAAATCTTTATTTACAGTTTGCCAGCAGATGGAAGCTGCAGTACTTTTTAAGTGTCACAGTCTTTAGTCTGTAGTCCATCTCCATGGAGGAAACGTATGAGAATAAAAAACAAAATATATTTTCTACAGCTTCCATGTGTTCTGTCTGTGAGCTGCTCTTAGAGATGGCCTGTGCTCCAGACTTGGGAATATAAATGTTTTCAGTTCGCAGCTCAGTTAGACTTTAAGGTTGACTGTGGCATTGAAAGAACCAGGGAAAGTGGGTGAGCACAGTTGGGTTTTAAAAGGCCAGTTTCTTCATGAGGAGGTAAACCCTGGAGTCCACCTCAAAGCCGTGAAGGTTGTTGGCATCTCCCTGCAGCCTCATGAGGAGGCCACCATAAGACACATAGGCAGAGCTGAAAGAAGGAACATGTCCATGGATTAAAATTAATAAATGATAGATTATAACATTTTTCAAACACAATCCCCATCTGATGTAAATGTTATTGTCTCAACAGATTCTAGGCACATGCATTCCCTCTTCACTGTAATGACTTTTTGTTAATAGTTAATCATAGGATAATAATGATAATTTACTTACAAAGCACCTATAGCGCTTTCTTCAGGCAAAGTAAAATATGGTTAGTTACCTCAGTTAAATTTATCATTATATTTGAAAATGGAGGCTGCAAAAGCAGTTCTGCTTTTTGAATTTATGTTGGTGAAAAGCTACTAGAATTCAACTATTGGCTTACACAATTTCCAGATGTTACTTTTTCATAAAATAAAAATGGCAGGTAAATTATCACATAAATGCTAAATTCATTACCAGTCCATGCCAATTGTTATTGCAATTATACTAATGGTATTCTTGGCTAAGTCACTGTATTAACACATATACTATAACATCACTCACAGGCGCGTGGCTGCTTCTGTTGAAGTCTCATCACCTTCAATCTTGTAAACTTTCCCATACATCACATAATCAAATTGGTCCGCTCTGGAAATTTAAACAAAGTGAAATGAGAGCTCAAATCTAAACTAGCAAAAAACACTCAAGGCAGTCATACTAAGAATGTACAGACAAATGTTATTACATCATTTAATAAAAATGTTCACCAAACAGCATGTGTTGGTAATATTATATGTATCAATATATTAAAAGAGCAAATGTTGTACCTAGACGGCCGGTCATCTTGAGGATTATACTCTCCATCATCTGGTGTTCCATCTTCATATAACGTACTGGCAATAACCAGTCTGAACTTGTCACCTTGATGAAATGCACGCATAAGACCACACTGAGTTTATCATGTCATTAGACTGTTGGGACACTTTGGTTTAGTGATGAGTTTTTGATGCATGGTTCAATGTGCCGGTATTTCAAGGTTCACTGATGTCTACAGTTCAGTTGATTTCCTTTGGTTGGAAGTAGACAGGAATATTACATAACTCTGCTAAATGTGTGACAGATTTTGCGGGAGCCAGTGAGTATACCCAAAACACTTTGCTAGAGGAGGGCTTTACTTCTAAAAAAGTGCAAATTTATTCAGATGAAGTATGAAAATTAAACAATGTAGCCACATGTTCTCATAATAGAGTATACTGTCAAATTGTGATTATGTTAACAAATTAATGACTTCCAATCTTTAACTTAAAACTAAGCAAAGGACAAAAAGGTCACTTTCTTACCAAGATCAACAGGATAGATCTGTATGTTCACATCCAGGATGAGGTCCATCTTGAAAGATTCACTTTCACAATGTAGACGAGACACTGCAACAAATTATCACATCCCTTTTACCTCCGTTTTGATTTGCACTAACACTAAGAGACATCTGGGTCTTTAGTTTGATAGATGCTTTATTCATGATTTTTGAGATTTTTTTTAAAGAGTAAGGTGCATGATGATTGATTATCTGCAGAATTTTCCAATACATTCGTAGAGAACAGAGACTACTTCAATATACAAGCATATGCTGGTATTTAAAAAACTTAATTTCCCAACTCCTTCAGCCTTGTTTAATAAAGACATTTCACACACCTCTGTCAAACTTCTTGCCATCTGGATCAATGTCTTTTACATCAAAGATATCCTCAAACAGAATTCCAGCCATCTCTGTTCTGGTCTATGACCTTGGAAAGGAATAAGAGAAATTATTCGGTTAAGTTTCTTTAAAAGGAAAAGAAAAGAAAGAGAGCAGAGCAGAGCAGAGACAGAAATAAATAAATTAGTGTTCATGTTTTAAATGCATTTTCTGGGTGTTTATGATTTGAGGCATTGTGGTGCTTGAACCTGCTCAATATAAGACAACCTGCAAAAATTACCTCAAACAAGTTACACCTTATTACTTCAAACAAGATGCTGCTATTGAGATAAAACGTTTGATAACCAATCACCAATAATGTGATTTTCACTACAACTGTATTTCATCTACAATACTACAATACATTATAGGCTTTAAGTCAATCCCTAGACCACACATTGCCAGCTGCTTTACTGACACTAGACACGTTTGCCACAACCTTTATCCTGTACTTAGTTATGAATGTGTAACTGAAAAAGTTGTTGGCTACTAAAATACACTTACTCGACATTAAACAAGGTTGCTGTCAGGCATAATCGGAGTTTTAGCCAAAGTTATAATATCCTCCTTCATAGTTACAACGTTAACTACAACTTCAGCAGCGTATCCTGTTCGGGCTAGCTGTTAGCGTTAGCATGTTGTGTACATAATTCCCCCAAGCTTACCTCAAATAAGATGGAACTCTTATATTATATTATTCCGTGCACACTCTAATGTCGTAGTCAATCGATTTCCCTCTATGGTTGTGTGCTAGAAATCTAATTTGAGTAACACTTCATTCATTACTATGTGAAACAGACTGTACCGCGCAAGAACAATGTGCGCGACCTTTGACACGCAAACTGCTTCCGGTTGAAAATACGACCTCATTGCTAGTTATGCTAACGATATTAATATTCAAAATAGAAGTGAATATTATTATTTTATGTGCCAGATAAAAACATGCCACATAGTTAAAAAGTAAACGTTAACTTACGTTATAACTATCCATCTGTCGTTACTGAACGCCGGACATTATTGTAGTTTACACATTGAAACTAGGGATACTTTACTCAGGAGTCCGCGCAGTAATAACCACATTTTAGATAAATAAGAAACAAGCAGAACACTTCGTCGTAGAACCATACAATGTGTATAAAAGGGTTTTAATGAAACGACATGCTTTCCCAAAGCATGTACAGTGTTTACGACACTTACCTCAACTTTCCAGCATGCGTTCTCCAACCATTTGGTTGCTAGGTGTTTTAGCGTCCTCTGTGTGTACGGTTGCTAGCTAATGGTTAGCTGACTAGCATTAAGTGCAAGTGAAGCCCATAAGCCTTGCCAAAAATGGATTGTACAGGTTTCTGTTACGGATGAACATGGTGCAAGCGACATAAGCCTTCATCAACAAGTAAGTGATGTATGATTATGTTGAGGATGATGTTGCTGTCCACCTTCGACGTCAGATAATGTAACTGATTAGCTTGTCAGCAAGTAGCTACTAGCTTGCCAAATGTTTTCTAACGCCGATTTAGTCACTCAAATTAACTGTTGAAGATAATGTTAAAATTCGAAAGCAGAGCAAATCTGACTTCTGTGTTCACGCTGTAGCTGTAGGATGTGTGTGTGATTTGTTTAAAAATATTACTAAAACCTTTGTATTGCAGCTTTACCTGAGTTTTAGACTGAGACACAAATACTCTTAAAGTAGTTGCATCTTATTAAAACGAAAGGGCTTAGCAATGAACTTCTTTGTGTGGTATCATATGATTATTAATAGTGCAATGTGCGGTCATGTCCTTGCAGGCTCTGCAGAATACTCACTGGATGTACAAATGCCATTTAATGAGTGCAGAGGTGTTTGCTGTTTGTAGGTGTTTTGAAAGTTTTGGGCACTCACATGAGTTCCAGGGAGGCAGCCAAGATGGGTGACATCTTGGCAACTGAAGCAGATCTTCTTGGGATGATTAAGGAGGTAACACATTCAAATTTAAAAGAAAAAAAAAAGATGCACAACTTTTATTCAAGAAACCACGATGGATATAGCATGATATTATAGAGAGAGAAGAGTTGTGCAGCTTGTTTAATCTGGATGACTTGAAACACAGCTCCATTCTGCAGTGGAGTTAATGCCACCTGTGCTTGTTTTGTGTCTTTTGTAGTACCTTAAGTTTGAGGAATTTGAAGAAACAGTGCACAGTTTCGACAAGGAGTGCAAAAGCAAAGGCAAGCTTGTCTCAAAGCCTCAAGGAAGTACTTTCAGAGACTCAAAGACTCGTGTCATTCAGGTAAATGATACAATTCTTATAACTTGATGCTCCTGCAGGTTGGTTGATTATTTTTAGAGGTGGCAACTAGGAATGAAAGGAAGAGTGGTGAAAAGCAGAAATTTGCCCACACACTGCTAATTATTAACATGCAGTTGTTACAGCCTGAGAAATATTATCCTATGTTTTTAATATTACTTTTATGAAACTCAGTAGCTTGCTTCATAGAGTAGTCCCTAACAACTGAATTGGATGTTTCAGAGTACAGAGAGTTGAGACTGGCAAACTCAATTGTTTTAAAACATATTTATCAATCAATTATCATTGTGTCGTATGTAAATAATATTATTGTAGAAACTAGTAAATTGTTGCATTTCCCAACCCATTCTTCTTTATCTGTGATTTTTCTAGAAAGACCTCCTTAGCTCTTTTGATGATGGAGATCACAAGGTATTTTTTGAACTGTGGGTAGAGAATATTCCATCTGAGGTAAAAGACACAGATGCAGAGGCCCAGAGCCTGGAGTTCTACCTTTACATCCATTTCACCATCTACCCACTGAGGAGGCACCCTGGTAGACATGTATGTAGATCATACTTTTTTTGTTTTGTTTTTTGTATAAACTATCATTTAACAAGAGCATTCATTTTTTATGAGAGCATCTGCAAAGAAATCTAACTGTGCCGTAAAACTAAATATCATTATGTGCTATTTTGCAACATGTCCACTAAGCTGCACTACAGGCTTTTCTCAGTGACCTCTTGATAAGGCTGTTGCACCATACAAATAGTCATCTGTCTGTAATATGCCTTTCATTGTGCAGGTCATTGCAGTTTATATATTTATATGAATGCAATGTTTTGTTTTGTTTGGTTTACTTTTTAAAGGCAGATGCTTTTTTTTTAGTTTTTGTTGATGGTAGAGAAAGAATCATGTAACTGAAGAGAATGTGTCTGTTCAGCAGAGGAAGTGTTTTAATGATGTAATGAGCAACCTGAAATAAATCAATTCATTGGAGTACCTGAATCTGTCTTCAGGACAGAGCTGAGTTTGAAGAGAGGATTTCACACTTCAAGCAGTACCTGGAGACTCGAGGAGCAGCACTAAGCCAGACCACAGAGTTCCTGCCTTACTATGCTTTGCCTTTCGTTCCCAACCCCACTGTCCACCCCTCCTTCAAAGATCTTTTCCAGGTGCTCGGCTGATTATGGAACATTATCCAGTTGGTCATTGTCAACTAGTTGTTACACATGCAACATTATTACTCAGTGTCACCTTCAGAATGAACATAACCACATTCTCTTCCAACCTATATAATGGTATATTTAGGATTCCTGGATACCACATTTGAAGGCTAAGCTGGAGCAGTTTCTGTCAGTGACACTGAAGCCGTCCAACAGCCCACGGCTGCTGAATTTATATGTATCCTTTATCATGGCACCCTCTCATATCTTTCTGATCAGAGTACAGATGAGTCACTTTATATTTCTGTTTTGAGACCAAGTGATGACATACTCTTTATGTTTTACTGTCTTTGCTGCTTTCAGTGGTGTGAGATAAGTATGCAAATTATGCAAATCTAACAGTGTCAGAACCTGTCTGTATTACAAATGACACAACCTGCCACCACAGCAAAATAGTTACAGTGAAAAACTATTTGTTTAATCCATGAAATGCTCAGTCCAACACTGCCATTGAATTGGTTCATTGGCAGTGGTGTCCTACTAAACTGCCAGTTCTTAACTCTCGAGAACTACATGCAGCACCTGGCAGTTCTCACAGATGTGGCTCACTAAGCAACATTAAGTAAAAGTTGTGTCGACTCAACAAAGGGCACAAAGGTCTTTAGAAAGTGGCTTTAAATAATAAATCAGCTGGTGGGGGAAAACACAACAAAATCTTGGGGGAAATAAGTTGGAGCTTTTAACACAGGCAAAGCACAGAGTGGTTTCCATTCCTTCTCCTGGTTGAGCTGGACATTTAAATCTCAAATAAAAAGCCTTTCTGTAGGTGACTAAAGAATTCATTAAAAGCCGGACTGTTGCCCAGATCTGGTCATTTCATATCCTGCAACCAAATCCTGTCTTGTTTTGCGTTTATAAATGCATGCTATGTTTGAGCATGGCATGACTTAATGTGACACTAACTCACGCTTACCCCTTCAGAGTAGAAGGGCAAGTGAAGGATAACAAGAATTGTTGTTTTTACTGGAAACCCAGTGGATCGACTTTCCTCCTTTCACATTCATGAAACTAAACACTACTGGCCAATGATCAAAGCATAGACATTTAACATGGCAACTATTATCTTGAGGGCTGACCAAGGAAAATCGAATTTGTTATTTAGTACTCTTAATCTTTCAATGTGCCAACACTTTAACAGGCAGCAACATACTGACAGGTGAAATTAACTGTGGGTTGACCTTTATAAATTAGGCCTATCCCTCCTTTAAAACAAACAACTATTGAACACTTATATCTCTTCAGTCAGTAAACCGATTTAGCTTAATTCTAAACAAACGTCTTCTGTGAAGATTTTGCCCACTTCAAGCAGGATACACATACTGTGTGTTTGTCTTATGTCACGTAAAACTTAAGCAAGACATTTACATAATCTTATATTGTATGTCTGTAGCTCTGTGTATTCAATTGAGTTTCAGTGTGTAATCTTTAACAGACGTCATGCAGAAGGAGGGTGGAAGGAGTACTAAAGGTACATTTATCCCTCTTCAATAGTCTACTTTTTTGCAGTGTATTGCAATCATTATATCTGTCCTTCCATCATATTATATCTATTGTGAAAATACAGAAACCACAGCAACTTGTGTTTGTCAGTGCGAGCTACTGCTAGTTACTCTTTTGGTTGTCATTGAACTCTCAAATCCATATTCTGGAAAGGACCAAAAGCTCCTCACTCTTTGAAATCTTCAGATCACACTTAACAGGGGTGGACCTTATTATGCAGCTTTCATTACATACATCACTAGATAATTGGTATCATTCATATTTCTAATTTGTTAACTGATTTTTCTGTAATAAAACTGAAAATTTCTTGTGAGTAAATTACAACTTAAGTTCTGTCAGTGTTGCACTTGGTTGCAGATAGAGGTTAATAATTACTCAGTGCTCTCTTAAAGACAACTGACTAATATTGACTAACATAAACATCCATCCATTAATTTTTATTTGAATTTTCAAATGAAACATTTCATATTTTATGACAAACACTTTAACCTTATGTTACACAGGAATATCACTCATGCTGTGAATGTTTTCTGCAACCTTTGTCTATGTGTGTGTGACTGTGCAGAGGCCATGCAGCAGTTGCAGCTCCAGCTGGTTGAATCAGACCGACGCATCGGCAGCTACATGCGGAAATTCAACAAGATGCAGGCCGACTACCACAACCTGATTGGAATCACTGCTGAGCTGGTCGACTCTTTGGAAGCCACCGTCAGCGGAAAAATGGTAGGTCAGCTTGACTGTGGGGCAAACAAACACACACATTCTAACACACAAGCTACAGGCACAAACTACACAGAGATGGGCACAAGGTAACACACACAAAAAGACACACACACTAACACTAATGAGCTAATGAATGGTACACACACACAAACACTAAACGGACACATAAAGGCTTTAATTAGGCTCTTTCTCACATACGCAGTATGTATACACACATGGTTGTTAATATACTCTGTATGGAAACATTTTCTATACACATTCTGTATTTACATGACACAGCTGTTAAACAGGGACACAAAAATGGAAAGCTTGCTCTTCTTCCCTCTGCCCACAAAGCTCAAGGGGCATGCTGTGTGTTTGCAGATCTCCCCTGAGTACCTGCAGAGTGTGTGTGTTCGCCTGTTCAGCAGCCAGATGAGGCAGAGCGTGGTACAGAGCACCGACTTCACCAGACCTGGCACTGTGAGTGAGAGCACACAGCCTCCTCTCTTCTTGCTCCTTCTCTCCTCACACCTTACTGGTAGAGGAATAAAAAACACAGGGCCTCAAGGCACAATGCTTTTAGTAAAAGCATGTCGGGGAGTGTTGATAGTAGTCACAGTCTTCCACCTAAATACAAGCAGGGAAAACTGCTCTCAGAACATTACGTCACAGATACTGGTCAAGTCGACGTTGTGTTTGAAAAGGAATTTCGAAATATATTTTAAAAAGGTGTGTTTATCTGCCACAAAGTACCGCTTTGTCCACTGTGCAGCCAGCTTTAAGCCATGTAATAATCCCTTAGTTTGTATCCTGGAAAAAGATAACTGGATCCTGGTTGAGTACAGTTGTTTGGAAGGCTTGTTGGAAAGTTAGATACACATTGCACAACTCTGAATAGTGGAAACGAACAATTCCAAACACCACAAAATCTGAAGTTCATCAACCACTTTTGAAATCTGCCTTAATTATAATGGTTAGAATAAAAATTATCCTTATGGTTGATTGCATCCCAAACTAGCTGTTGGAGTAGAAATATTCAAATTAAACAGCAAATAGCTGGTGAAACATATCTTATCCTTGTTGCCATTTTTTGATAGCTGTTACAGTGTGGCTCCATGACACAGATACATAAAAAAAACTGGAGAATTACTCAAAACTCTGATACCTGGACAGTCTCGCTTACTATCAGTAGCATTCATTGTGGTGTTGAACTCTGGCTTGTGAAATCTGGTTTCTTTCTGTTTTGAACTGAACAACTTCTTTCTGTGTGTTTGTGTTTTTGCGTGTGTGATGCTTTTGTCCACAAAGGGATATTACTCTATGAGTCCCTATGATGATGGCTATGTAAGTTTCATATGTTTTCATGTTTACTTCATGTCACCGCTCAGGTCCTCACCTCTCATCTTGCTTGCACCTCGCCGTGTCTCCTCTACCTTCTCCTCTCCTTGTCTTTATGTCTGCCTCCCCTTTCTTTACTAGTTATACATTTCTTGGCCTGCCTTTGTACCCAGTCTATACCCCCTGCCATTTTCCTACTAGATTGTCCTAGTTTAAAGTTTGGCCTTGTTTATAGTAAGAATGACCCCTTTTGTCAGGCTACTTGTTCAGCCAAACAAGAGCTTCTCTTTCAGGATGCACCTCATCATTAAATTCACTTGTTCCCAAAGACTACAGTCATTGTTCCTCATTTCAACTCTGCTTATCGGCTGTCAGTCTTCTTTTTTTAAGGTAAACGCTGTCAGTTTCAGTTTTCTCCCCTTACTATTTGTTTAACGTTACAGTTTGTGAAAGAATTTGGACAGATGCTGTGACAGGACAAGAATGGCCAACACAAGCTGCTTTGATGTAAAAGCCCTTCTCTCACGCCCAGGTTATCAGACAGGGTGGATCAAGTTACAGTCATTTGAAAAGACATAACCAGAACACTTTATTTAATTGTGATGGTTCTTAAAACCATTAATAGCAGGCACTCAGGTTAAACATATAATATAATAATGTTAATTTAAATAACTTCCATGGAATTTCAGGTCAGGAGGTTAAATGTTGTATGAGAAAAAGCTGTGAACGAGAACAGAATGAACAGCCACAGCATTTGCTTAGCAGCATTTAGTAGTTAATATTAATTTCCCACTGATTGTCAGGAGCTGGTGGATAATGGTCAATATTCCTGATAACCTGGATTAAAAGCATTTTGTTTCAGTTGTAGCTGAGAGCTGAGTCAGGACCATGTTTGTCCTCACATAGGCAAGAATCTGTTCCACTTATCGCAACATAACACCATAATTGACTATAATTATCAGACTCTTTCTGCCTTCATATTATTGAAATGGCTGTCACAGACGTTTTTTCTTTTTTTTCTGCTATGGTTTAGCTTGCTGAAAGGATAAAACCTGGATGTGACCAGGGAGCAGAGCCGTCTACTTAGACAATAATATCAACAATAGATGGCCTTCAGTTGTCCCCAGTGTCACAAAGGAGTAAATAGTGAGAAGGCACACTAAAAATGTGAAGAGAGTAAGGGCACCTCTTATGTAAACTGTGCATTGTCAGAGGATTCAGGTCAAGCCTTTGCTTTGTGTAGGTGACCAACTGAAATATGAGCGCAAATGTGACCTTAAAATCAAAGTTTTACTGAAAATGGGAGAATTTTGTTGTGCAGTTTTTTACATCCTTCTGACGTTGTTGCAAAAAAATGATTGAGTTTGAACCCACTCTTTCTATATTCTCCTATTAAAAAGCTGCTATAGAGACTGAGAATACTCGCTGTCCATAATATACACTGCATGTGTGATGAACCTAAGTTGGATGCCATTCTTAATCAGGCCTTAGATCAGTGTTAAATGTCTCAGGGAAACGTTTCCCCATGTCCTTCAGCTTTCGTCAGGGCAGCTGAAATGTTTAGACAGAAAGGAATTTGGGGAAGAATCTTGGTTTCAATGTTCTCCCCCACTTCTGCATTACCTACTGCACACCAAAGCAAAAATGTGGCTACACCACCTGATACCTTAGACGTCACGGACCACTCCCCTGACCTTACGCTGCTCCCGCTCTAAACCGAACCACCCAGGCTTCAGATTCGATTTCAAGTCTTAAAATCCCCTTTCAAAACTGAAAAACAGTAGTAATTAGTTTTCCTTAACATACACACCCACCATTATACTATACTGTTCAGAAGCCTCTGTTTCCTTTTTCCTCAAATAACTACATACAGGCCTAGAGTACAAGTGAAGTGAGGTGTGAAAATGGATTTGGGGGGGCTGTTTCACACTAACCTGCCCTCTGTGATAGTTTAAAAATGTTGAAATATCTCCTATTTGTCACTGACTGCATGGGCAATGTTGCCAAACAGCACTATACTGTATGTCTGGGGATTCAGCATGTACAGCAAGCATGATGTATGCATGTCCAAAAAAATACTAATGACTTATTAGTAGCTAACTTGGTTGTTTTTAGATGGAGAACATTACTGGGTAAGTATGGCAGCCAGAGAGACACAATGATGGAATGTGACAGGATTAGTTTGAACAGTCGCATGGGTTATGTTTTCCACACTTTAAAATAGAAATGTGATAAATGTGGTCTGAAATAATCAAATTCTGATATATATATATATATATATATATATATATATACTGCTACTCTTTGTCTTCTTTTCTCGAATTTGCTCTCTCTTGTAGGCCTCCTCTATGCTACGAGCATCCATTGCACCACAGTAAGTGTTAAATTTGTTTTGTTTTTTTGTTAAATGCGCTTTTTGCTGGTCAGGGTTTGATGAGTGCCTTGACAAAACAACGTCTCTTTGATTAATCTCCAGGAGATCCAAGGAGGTGCCAATGCTGCCCTCACTGGACTATGAGAAGCTAAAGAAAGACCTGGTTGAAGGCTCAGACAGACTCACGTCCCTGCTGCTTCAGGCACTGCGCTGGGTGAGTTGATTCATAATCCTATTCCTCTTATGTCAGGTGTCACATTTTGCACACATTCACAGTCATTTGTCTTTAATGTCTACAACCACTGCATCTTGCCTTTTCCCACTCTCTTAAGGTTGTAGTCCATATTTTTTTCATACTTTTGTCCTTGCAAGCATGTTTTCTTTTGTTTTGCTATCAAGTGCTAAACATTATTTGGGGCTGATTAAACTGTGGTTGTATGTTTATAGTAAAATATTAGGGTATTAATAATGATCTTGAAACGGAAAAGTCATTACAATCATTGAAATCAAATCAATTCCCAATCCGTAGTGAAGCCTTTGTGAATCATTCCTGTTCTTCAGAGCTATAAAGTATATTATTTATTTAGACTGTGCCCCTGGTAGTAATACAAGCCATCATGTTACAGGGAGGTCAGTGTGATATATAGTAGGTGTTAGATTTATATAATATTTTTAAGGCAGGCTAGCAAAGCAATCCATTACATAGCAGTCCAATATAGCTGTTTTGCTCAAGGGCGCCTCATAAGTACAGCATTTTGTAAGTATGAAGGAGAGGAGAGTACCATTCACAGTCAGTTTGTATTATTTAGAGACTTCATTGTTGGGTCTGTTTCTCACGTTTTTTTAGAGACTGACTCGCTCGCTCCCCGGTGAACAAAGAGACACCGTGCTTCAAGCCTATATCAGCAATGATCTGCTGGAACGCTACAGCGCTAAACAGGTGGGACCTAGACCTTTTTATTGTAATCACATTTTGTGAGGTTTTTCATATTGTTAATTGTAGTGCAGGTTTTTCGTCTAAATCACGGCCTCTGACATAAACTGAAAATGCCAGTGATTGATCTTCCATTGCCATGCAAGCTCATGTGATCAGGGTCAACTTACTTATCTTTGAAAATGATTTTTAAGCAACAATATGTACATCATTTCCAAGCCCAAACTATATTCCATGCAGTCATCAGAGCCAAAGTAAAAAATAACTTCTTGTCCACTGGCCACTCTGTATAATTAATCCCAAGGCACTGATTTCATGCACATCTGAGCTGGTGAATTGGCACCTTTGCTGGGTGCACACAGGTTTGTTTCTCACTATCAGCTTAATGTTACAATGTGGGTAAAGGTCATAGACGGGAGACAAACCAGACATAGCATCTCAGATATCATCCATATCCGTCTGGGATGCTGTCCAAATGACATGCTATCCCTTTATACTTTGATAAATATCTTTCAAGAATGGAAGAATGTAAATCCACACACATGTGGCTGTTGTGTGATCATTATCACTGACCTGTCAATATGTACCACAAACTTCAAAATGAGAGGTTTGCACCGTTTCTATTACTTCACAAAAATCTGTACAGAAATGTTTGCCACAAATTGTTTCATCAACCAGAGATCTTTTATTTCAATAAAATAATGTTAACAGAGTTCCACCATTTCAAATATTTGTGGTACTAACAATGCCTTAGCCATCATCACATCCTGGATAGGACATGTATTCTATGGTTAAGTCATCTATAGTTAGAGTCACTTGTACCTAATCATTGTCTTGGCAATTAATCCAAATTCCCAAAATGTTATCAATGTAAGTCTTTTCATCTGAGACTTTGTATGAAATGTTCCAGATTGAGTACTATTCTTGAGCAATTTCTCCTTTTATCTTAACAAAGGCGTAGAGTAAGAAACATTATATTCCAGATTTCACCTTCTCAAAAGGTTTTCAGAGGCCTTAGAATCTCTTTCTTACAAGCTTTATTGTTGTTTTTTTCCTTCTTTTGTTTTCTTTTCAAATTCCCTTCACCTAGCCTTTAGCTGTGGGGCGCCATGTTAAAGATAATCCCTTTACAGAACAGTAAATGATCCTCACTTCACAGATGAGTTCTTTGTCCATGTACTTGCCACGGTGCTCCAAGCCACCTCTGAACAACACTTGGGTCATTTACTGTAGAGAGCCACAATAACAGTAGTAGGGTGTCAGTTTCTTGTAATCAAATCACAACCATAAATGTTCTGTGTTCAACAATAGCCAAAAGCGAAAATGACTGTTGAAAAGTGAGTTTACCCAGTGCAATGGGTTTTACATCGCCGGGCCATCATGTCCCTTTTAGGTTTGACCAGGCCAGCTCCATAAAGCTGTTTGGGTGGTTTCTTAAGCCATACCACTTGAACTAGAAGTAAAATATTAATAGAATGCTAGAATGCTTCATTCAAAGTTTCATTTTCATTTCTGTATAAAGTGACAAACTGTCCAGCAAAGGTACAATGAGGGTGCTGTTGGGTGTTCATAAAATACTAATGTTGTAAGACATTCTCTATATTCACTATATAAAAAGCACTGACTATGTTGGCAACACTAGCTACAGTATGTTTCTTTATATATAATTTTAGTTTTATATCAGTTTTCATAATTATTTTTCACAGTCCAAATTTCCTTTTTTTAAATCTTGAAATATCAGCAGCTGTTGAGATAACACGATTGTTTTGCATTAATCAGCAGGACTTGTAAGGCCTGCTCATAAGTTATGATCATTTTGTTCAAAGTACCAATAAAATATTACTGATTGTGCTTGTAAGCACTAAATATAGTTTTAAAGTACCTTACATTTTGTGTTTTTTCATAGAAAACTGTGCTTCATTTAATGAGGTCGAAGAACGAGATTGTCCGCCAATACATGGCTCGTCTCATCAATGCATTCGCTTCCCTTGCAGAGGGTAAGTGCTCAACTGCCAGTACATTTGGTCAAGCATAATTATTTCTTTTGTAAGATGAGTCATTGTCTAACTGGATGCATTCAAGGATATATAGATTCATGGAAGACCTTTTATTGAATCTTAAAAACCACTAATGATCCGCAGCAGCAGCAGCATGCCAGTAACTATGGAGGACATCTTGTAAGGACAAATATCATTTGTGCTGAGACAGATGACTTACTGTTACATAGTAAGTGGTTATGGTAACAATATTTTATGAGAAAGTAATTAGTTAACAATTATTCTCAACAACAGGGAAAAGTTGAAGTGGTAGGATCACTGTAATGTCTTTTCAGCATCAGTCTCAACTGGAAAAGGAAAACAGGTTTTTGAATTTAAAAGGTTTGAACAACTTAAATACTAAGAAAAAATGTAAGGTGACATTGGTAATTTGTGAACTCCCTGGAGCTTGATTTCTCCTCAGTAACAGGTGGTTTTATCCATTGTTTTTTAGTTTAGGAGTTAATGCTGTTGTATTGTAATGTCCTCACTAGCGTTCACAGTTGTACCTGAAGTTAATTACCAAATTTAGGTATGTCTTTTCATTGTTGAAAATACCTGTGAGTTGAAATTACATTGTTGTATATTTCAGAGTATGATGTCCAGTGAGAGTATAACATTAGTCTTGATTATTATTCCATTTTGTGGTGATGCTTGTAGGTCGGGTTTACCTCTCCCAAATCCCCATTCTTCTAAAACTTCTGACAGAGGCTCTCAGGAAGGAGGAAAAAGACTCCCTGTCGAGAGAGAATGTACTAGTGGCCCTCCAGAAACTCAGTCTCAGGTAAATTTGAAAATAAGTGTATTTTTAAAGCCTTGCCTTTTCATTTTCCTTAGAGGTAAATTTTAACAGCATGTTTAGAAACCAGATTACGTACCAGTTTTTCTATTGAACAACCAGTCAGGAGGCAGCCTTAATGACCAGTTGAAATTAAGTTATTTTTCAAGTCTTACTCAGGATAATTTGTAATTGTGTGTGCATGTTTGGAGACTACATAAAGCAATCAATTGGAGAGCAGATGTCTTCCTCAAAGTGAGATTTTCTCATTACTTTGACTAGTAGACGGCCTAGATTCATCATAAACCTGTGTCTCTCAAATTTTAAGAGACACAGGGCTCGAACAGGTAAATTCACAATTACATTTTCTCTTAACATGTGATGATCAGAAACCTTTACGATAACAACTTTACATGCAATTCTTTTTAGGCATGAACCAAAATTCTTGTCATGTTGAGGGACACAAACATTAGTGTTTAATTTGCTTTAAATCCATCATTCCTCATCATGTATTGGCAGGAGGAGCCAGCAGACGGCTATGATAGCAGATGATTTGATAGGCTGGCTGGTGGATGAGCTACAAGATTCAGACTGCCTGACTGACTACACCCTGGAGTATTCTGCAGCGCTGCTTATGAACCTATGTCTGCGCACGAAAGGTAAAGGCGAGGCACGGGTAGATACAGAGCTTGAATAACAGCATACACCAAACCCTTCTGAGACCCCTTCAACCCGGTGGATGTATTTATGTATATTTCAAAGTACAATTAATGTGGCTGTTTAAAACTGACCAACAGAAAAATGCACAGTGAATTTTAAAAAAGGACAAAATTGATCTAAATGATAAACAATTCAATTTATGGATAGTCTGACATTTTGGGACTGTTTCTTGCCTCTAAGTAGTTGCCAGTCAACCATATATATAGCCTCTAGCCATACCTCTAGTTATAGCCTAATATTTACAATACATGAGAGCGGTATCAGTCTTCTCATCGAGCTCTTCACCAAAAAATGAATGAGTGTACGTCCCAAAATGTTAAATTATTCCTTTAAAGATACATACAATACAGTACCCGAATGGCCTTGCAATACTATATCAAAAGTTTCATGAAGTGCATGCAGGAAAAATATGGAAGAAAATCTGAGCATATTAACAGTCCATGATGTCACTGTAAATCAATTTTATCTCTTTTAAAATCACATGGACTCTCTGTCCAGCTTTCTTCCTTTCTGATGATTTGATTAAGGGCAGAGTAGAGACCATTATTGTTTAAGTTTGAATTCAATAAAATTTTTTTGCTTTTACAGCTTGTTATCATATCTAGAGTGTATCTTTGTTCACATCAGCCCCCTTTACTTTACATACGCACTGAACACAGACTGTTTTTTCTCAGTTGCTCGGGGGCCTGCTTTTTATAAAATTGCCATAGTAAGATGCTGCACTGCATTTGATTTATCAGCAGTTTTACTATTTAATACACAGAAAGATGAAATGCAAAGAAAATTAAAATATATTAGGCTGGAAGAAATTATTAATCTGAGTGAAAGTTTATCCACTCATTGTAGGATAAGCAGAAAAGACTTTTGGGTTGTTTAAATTGAAGCATGTATCTATGTTTGTGTGTCTGTGCATGTGTGTTGGATTGCTGTCATTGTACAGGAAAAAGGAAGTGTGCAGAAAACGCCAAGCATGTTCTAAAGGTTCTAACTGACCTCCTTGGACATGAGAATCACGAGGTGATACACACATCCGTCAACACTTGCACACAGCTGTTACATCCACAATGTACATAGGAGGCACACACTCAAAGAGGGTGTAAAACATAGATCCAACATATATCAACACGGGCAGTATAGGGCAGAAAACAATAGATGTGCAGTTGGCAGCATTTGTCAGCACTAAATGGAAACTAAGATCTAAACACAATCTGACCTAGAAAGTAAGAAAAAAATAAACACTGACTTTGTTCATTTTTATCAGAAGTTATAAAAAACGTATGTTGTCAAGCTGTTTCAGCTTCACTATTGCTTTAAATCTTTTTACCTACTATAGTTACTGTAGGTCTATGTTAGCAGACAGGTCATATATATATATATATTTATATACACATATACACATATATACTGGTATTCACATCTATTGTATTTTTCCCCTTTGTATCATTCTAGCTGCTACATGTTCATACAATCTGTTACCATATGGCCTGAGACCATAAAAAAAGAGGTTGTGTGTTTTGTCTGTGTCTCTTTCCTCAGGTCCGACCATATGTGAATGGAGCCCTGTACAGTATCCTGTGTATTCCATCTGTGAGGCAGGAAGCCAGAGAGATGGTGAGATAGCAGTCAAATGTCTTCACCTGTTTTGAGGAAACAAGACGCAGTTTGTTTTTTTGCTCTGCATTTGTCTTCCTTCACGTCATCACACAGCCAGTTTGATGGTGAACCAACAGGTGTTCATAGTCATAAGACACAGTAACTGTACCCAGATAATGCTGAGCCTGTGGGCTGAATTTGTGCTTCAAACTGACTTTAAACTTATGTAATTGTTCTTCATGCAATGACATTTGGAGCTGCAGGAGTGTGTGGAAGGGGCTTTGTCCATCCTGTCCAGCAAATATCATATTTAGGCAGAAGCCTCAGACATTAGACAGTGATCATTATGTAATTGAAGACCATATATTTTTTTTTACAATGCATTATAATTAGCTCACACCCACTGAATTGAGCACTTTTGCCAACAGCTAAATGTTATTACAGCGTATATTACCTTTGAATACTGAGTCACTGATCTTGATTTTGAAGCTAGCAACGGCCCCTGCGTTTGTCTGTCTGCTATAAAGTTATGTGCGTAAACCAGTGTGACATGTGTTTCCCTCATGTGTGTAGAGTATAGAGGAGATTCTTCGATGCTACAGCAAAGAGGAAAACCCAGACCTCAACAGACAGATTGAGTTCATCATTAAGCAGCTGAACTCAGGTGAGTGAATTCAAATTTACTGTTACAATAGATACTTAATGAATATGTATGCTAGGCATGGGCCAATGTTCAGTCATTTCAAATATTGCGATAATTGTTTTTTTCTTTTGCAGAGTTGCAGTCTGAGCTGTTGTTTAGTGGCAGCATTGTTTATACCTGAAACATAAAATACAACAATATAATTATATCAGCACTCTTGTCTCCATCCAACACTCTTGTCTTGTCTTGTTTTTAACTGTATATATATTTATATTTATATGTATGTACCAAGAAGCATTGTAAAACCGGAGACAAATTCCTTGTGATTCTGATTCTGACAGTAGTGATGTGCTAGTAGTCAATCTAATGTTAGAAGGTGCTTTACAAAGCAGAAAATTGAGCCTTTTGGAATTATATTCCAAAGTGAAGCACTGAGTGACATCTGTTGCCGATGTTTTTTGCAAGTTTTACTGACTTGTTTAATCGTTGACCTTTGTTCCACCCAGCTGAGGAAGAGGGGCCAGAATCCGACGATGAAGAGGAAGAGGACGACAATGACGTAAGTCCTCCTCTCTTTAGACTATGATGTGATGATGTTTTTCACCGTCATAGTATATTCTCATTTCCACATTAGTTCAGCAGAACCTTAGGAATATATAAACAAAAACAAATCAAAAGAGCAAAAATGAGGGTGAGAGAAATCACAACAAGAAAAGAACACCTCATATTTGACACCTTTCCCCAACTCGTAGATGGCAATCTTAGTATGACACAGATATTGGGTGTCACCCACCTGTGTGTTTGTTCATGTGTGTAGGGGGTGATGAGCCTGGCAGATTGGATTTAGTGGGACAGTGGGTTATCAAGATAAGGTATATGGTAGTAAGTTAAAGTGGGAATGGCTACAGTCCCTCAGGTGTGTGTGTGTGTGCGTGCGTGCGTGCGTGTGAGGGTTTGAGTGCTTTATTCTTTTGATCTCAGAGCTGGTGTTTTTTGTACCTCCTATCCAATTACCATGGCTATAGCAGGGAATAGATATAATGTTGCCCACTTGTCAACAAAGTGAGTGCCAAAGGTGTAGACTACACTGCTCTCTTGTTGGTACCTTTTGGATTGGTGCCAAGCATTGTATGCAACTCACATCAATGTTATTGCATACAAGTTCATTTTAAATATAGCTGAGTAAATTAGACACCATCAAAGTAACTGTAGTTGATCAACAGAGGCTTTAACATATTGGTGTTAAAGCCAGGGATGCTTTGGGATGCTTTTGCATAAAAGTTGCAGAAACAAAGCAGGGGCCATGATGTTGGCTGTACTGATTTCATTGTTTGATTGTATATTATCACCAAATCTGAATTATTGACACTGCATACTTATGTCCACCACAAATTATGTATTTTTTTAACTGATTCATTGTCATTATCTTGTTACAGGAAGATTTAATGGAGACAGACCTTGACAAAGAGGAAGTTCTCCAACCGCAGCCCAGGGAACTGTCTGGGGAGAGTCTTCTCACCACTGAGTACCTGGGTGTAAGAGAGTATAAACTCACTATGCACAACTTAATCAAGCAAGTTGTTGGTAGCTAAACATGCCCCAAGTTCAAGCCTATACACCATTAAGGAGACAACATCAGTTAAAGGCTGGCAGTCTGCAGATAAGCTCCTTGCACAGGACTTATTGTTAGAGTCTGGTTATTGTGTCTGCTGTACAATTCCTTCTGCATCAAGATGAAGCAGCTAAAGGAAAGAATACCTGAAACAAGGGGAACTGAAAATGTGTCTGTGTGTGTCTGTGCGTGCGTGCGTGCGTGCGTGCGTGTGTGCGTGTGTGCGTGCGTGCGTGCGTGCGTGTGTGTGTGCGCGCACACTACAGGACATTAGACAATATTTGAGCCCCTGGGAAATTGCAAGATTTCATGTCATTATGCTAATATGCTATCATCTTGCATATTATAGCTTTATTATAGCTTTAAGGATTTTTGGTATCCCTGTTTCAAACCTGTGTTGCTGCTATGCAACTAATTTGTGTTTGTGGTTTGTAGATTATGACCAACATGACAAAAGTGAAGAGAAAGTCTACCCCTCTGCCGCAACCAAGTGTTGATGAGCCCCTACAACGACCAGTCACACCGGGTTCTCATCGTAATATCAACACAGTGTAAGTTACTTACACACACACAAGTACTGTCAGACAGTCCAAATTAGCCTTAAGCTGACCTGCTTATGCAAAGCATCTGTGCGACACCAGACATTTGGCCTCTTTCTTCTCAAGGCTGACCCATTTACAACAGCACAGATAGCTCCTAGCTCAACCTAAAGGTCATTTTGACAATGATTTTGCTGCCCCCTTTGTTAAACCACATGGATAATGAAGTTCCTGTAGCCATTAAAACTAGTGCAGTAGGTCATAGCAAGAATGGGTTAAAATATATTTTGCCATTAATCAACACAAAGCCTGACGTTATTGTTAATGAGTCAGCAGGAGGAGACTGGAACGGGGGTTTCTTTGTAATGAAAGGCAGATCACTGTCAATACAAACTGTAAGGTAGACAACACAGATAAAAGACAGTATTATTTTAGAGTAATGGGTATGACAGCAATGATGGATCAGTGCCCTGGAGATAAGACTGTATCAACTCACAGGAAGTAATTTATAAAATGGTCTTATGACTGACTAACAATAGTAACACTAATCTTTAATTATTATATAGTATTTCTGACTTGACACTGATGAAGGCCAATGAAGCCATTAAGATAACGGTTTTAAGATGTGATATTGTGAACGTCCTCATGCACATTCCTACAAAACATGTGCTATATTGTTTGTGTTTATGTGTCATGTGTAGGGATTATCGAGCTGGCAGTCAGGGAGGTGAGGTTAGCAGGGATAGGGAATACCCTCTGAGCAGACAGAAGAGCGAGGAAGGAAGCCTACCTCCTTCCCGATACAGCTCCAGACCTCCTACGCGCTCCGGCAGTCGCCCCAGCACTGCTGACTCTCTACGTCACAGCATCGGTGGGTAGATCTGTGCGTTTTTGTGTATTGTGTACATCTTCCAAATTCTGTGTATCAATACTCGAATACTTTTTGCACATTGAATAGAAGTAGAAATTCAAAATAGTAAAATAATGCTGCTGTGACCATGTCTAAATGCTGTGGCTGTTCATCAGATGTTTGCAGTCAGATTTCATACTTAATACACTTTGTGCACATTGAAAATCAACTGCATATTTGTGGGACAATTTAATTTCCCTTCCACCTGCTGCTCTTTATTTGATTTATATTGTATTTATTTGAAGTGATGCCCAGTGTCCACAAGGAACATGAGGCACTTCCAGGCAAGGAAGCTCCAGCAACTTCCTCAGAAAGCAGAAGGGATAAAGACTCAGCAAAATGGGCACCAAATGGCTAATGACGCATTTTGGCTTTCCATAAAACAAGCCATGTCAGCATGGCATCAAGTTGTTGCTCATGTGTTCGTTAGTCACAATAAGTGTATAACAGTACACCTGTATTGTTTTATTAAAGTTTTGAGTTCATTTTAGATTTGGAAGCCAGCCATTTTGGTATAAATCCAAAATTAGTGTGATGAAGCTCTAATATTTCCTTCCTCTCTGTCACACACAAAAACACACTCAGACTCAGAGTGTGGCCGGTTGTCCCAGGAGTCAGAGTTGGACGGGCCGTATGAAGAGCGAGCTACAAAAGGTCGTTTCCAAGAGGAACACAATGGACACTCTGCCAGGTAAACTGACACACAAACATTAACTACACACATTATCTGTTTGACTTCAAAAGACGCACAACAACACTTGAACACAACAATAACATCAAAACTGTAGTAACACAATGGGGAGTCTTACAGTCTACATTTTGTTCAGGATCAGGGAAATGATGCAAAAAGATTCAGCCGAGCTTCCTGCAAAATTCTGAGATGTGTGTCAGTGTATTTGTGTGTCTATGGAGAGACTTGGCAAGTGTGTTGTTCGACCGATCGGTGACTCAGCACTGCCAAGCTGGTCTCTGAGACTGTGACATGCGTTTAAACGAGCAGTGCCCACAAAGAGACCCATTCAATGAATCCTCCCCTGCTTCTCCTCTTCTTTAAAATCCCAGAGGAACTTGACTCCTGAATCCCACCGACAGTAATGAGACCCAGGGAACCACTTCAGTTATCCTCCCCCCCATCCTCCAGGAATGTAAAACACCTCTACAATACAGACTGGCTGAGTCAGACTTCAGTAGCCTCATCTCACCCCCAGTCTGGAGACTGAAGATTTTTATAGTGAGAAGAGATTTCAGGACAGTCATAGATATTTAGGTGAATAGGATCTTAGCAATACAGCAATTGGGCAAATATCAAATGAGCATGTTTTTGCCTTTTTGTTTTTATTTCTTAGCAAAGCTCTGCTTCAGACTAATTCAGATACACAAAGTTACACCTGTGGTGAGGCTGTTTTTTTCATTCAGACATGAAAGTTTTTCTTGTCACCCTGTTGCTGCTCAAGTTGCTGACTTTAAGGGTAGGATGTGGGTATAGTATGGGTATAGTATTTCTCCACAGGATTTAAGTCATTTGGTGCGTGGCTGATAACCACATTGAGTTTGGGCCTTCAGTGTGTGGCTGCAGGCAGAAGTGCCATTTGCTTGCTGTGATCCTGTTCATCAGATTCACTGGAACATTTTCCTATTTGTGGTTTTAGTCACACAATAAAGCCTTTTTTCCAGTGGTTACTATTTTATCAGCTGATGAAAATTATAAGCAAAATACAGTGTAATTTTACTGTGTATTTAACTTTTACCTTTAAACTTCTATTTTACCTAGTAGGTTGAACAGAAATTAAAAACACTGGCAATGATATGAATGATGATATGGCAAAGTCAAGTACAAACAGCAGTCAGGTGCATCTCACTAAATCTATAGTGAATTGCTGGGGAAGAAACATTGGACTGTTGAAACATGCCTATAAGATCTGCTTTGATCATTCCCAAATATGTATCTTGAAACCTTAAAACTGAAGGCACACTGTCTCTTATTTTACACCTCTTACTAATAATATTGATTATTATTATATTCATAGCATAAATTACCTGCATTGTGTCTAAACTAAATGTAAAATAAATTAAAAAATTAAATTAAAGATAAATAAAATCACAATATTATAGAATTATATTACAAGATAAATCTGCACCTAAAGAACTTGTATGCTGTAGATGACCCTGCTGATATCTGTACGCTATCATCAGAAATGGTGGCGGTCGACGGAAACAATAAATGGATGCTATCAAGGTTCAAGGGCAAGAATCTTGTAAAAGGCTGGTAAAGTACCCAGGACAACTATGATATCTGACTTCATGACTGTAGTGTCTCACAGCTACTCAGGAGCACATCAGATAAAAAGATGACCTGAACCTTTGCAAGTGAGAAATCAGAGCTGTAATTAAAAAGTAAATAAAAAAATTATAAACCTTTACTCATCATTTATTTCTTTTCCTGCTTCCTCTTCTGTTCCCTGTCAACAGTGGTGATTATATCCCTGCATTTGCAAGCCAGCCCAAAATTCCCCGTACACCTGACACAGCAGCCAGCCAGAACAAGGCTCAGAACAAGGCTCGAGGCCTGGCTCTGGCCCCCCAGTTTTCTCAGTCGGAGCCACAGCAGAGCAGCCGGCCAGGCTCCTCTGCCAGCTCCACAGGAGGAGGGGGACGCCAAAGTGGAGGTAAGCATATGTTAAGGGTGGGAAATGAACGCGGGATGCCAGCCAGTGTTGGTGAATTTTGGCTCCAGTTGGTAACTTTGTCTACTTTGCCAGTCACTTTGGAAAATAACCAGCCGCGATTTGGAAGTCCAGTGTTTATAAGAATAGCAAGTTGGCTTCGAAACACTCAGTTGTAATTCAAGATGAACTAAGCTTGTCTGAGTGGACATAAGGAACTTTTCTGTGACTGTTTATCAGTCCCTGTCCCATTAATAATAAATCTGTGTGTGGGGAAAAAATCTTGCATTGACAAGCTGCCACCTGAGATTTGACATTTTATATTTCTATACTAATATTGTGACATAATAAATCTGGAAATTCCACTGGCAATCTAACCACAGAAAATAATCAGAAAGGCTAATCTGGCACATCTGACAAAGTCATTGATGCAAGAGTCCTCTAAATGCAATATTACCATAAAGCAGTCGTGCTCATAGATGTGTAGCTTTGCTTGTGATGACCTAATACAACCATTGGTATTGAAGAGATAGCTAAATGTTACAGTAAAACCTCTACCAGTTATATCAGTCAGTATCAGTCGTCATTTCAGCCAACATTGCCATCAGCTGAAATAAGCACAGGACTGAGGCTGTTATATGTCTATACAGCTCTCTACATGATATCTGATAAGCTACATCATAAATAAGATAATCCTTTATAAATCCCACAGCCGGGAAATTTTCAGTGTTACGGCAGTAGCAAGAGCCTCTGTAAAGTCTGACAGCTGAATGATATAAATATGCCACAGTGTCACAGTTTGTCTGAGCTTCAGCTTCATAACATTATATCATTTTTGTCCCTTCTCTTTCCCTCTCTGTCTCTCACCTGTTTTACATCTGTGAAATATTGTCGTTTTCCTGCTTCTTTACAAACCTGTTTTACCAGAAGTGTACACAAAAGCAGTGGAATTTATAATGATAATGACAAATCATGCTTCTGTTTCCCTGCAGCTCAGGGTTAGAGTTACACATGAGGATCTCAGCAGTTTTAACTGGAAGCCTGTAACAAAATCTGCTGTTACTTTATTTCAAAGCTTAAACTCTGTGTTTATGTAGCTGTCAGTATTTTGCCACTCACTTATCAGGTGACAAAAATAAAACAACCTCATAGATCCTTTAACAATAATAACAATAATAATAATCATAGTATAAATTTAGTTTGCGGAAGTCTGTTCAGGTGCCAATTTCTGCAAACAGAACAACACGTCACTCATCACTGTTACATAACATTAAAAAAAACAAAATCATCTTTTATGAAATGTGAAAACCAAATTGTTACTTTTTGTTGAACAAAGGCACCAGTCAGCCCAACCTAACCACAGTCCCATATTTATTTGCTGTCAACTTCACATCTTTAACATACAAGTTGAGTCAGTGCAGCGAAGATGGCCTGATCAGTTGCTCTGGTGCTCTTAGTTGGGTGATAACATCTCCCGATGCTCTCATGCATCTTAATTGCATTTGATGAGCGATTACCTCCGGCTCTTATGCTGGGTGCCCTTACCATAAAGCATGTAATAGCGCCTAATGGTCACTCAAAGCTACCACATCCTGTGTGTGTTGTACTTTTGAGGTCTGGCAAGTGTCAGACATCTATTGATTCATAAGGAAGTCACTTAATCATAGCTCTGCTTAAAGGGCAATAAGCATACGCACATGGCGTGGCAAACAAAATAAGGCCAGTTTCACTGTGAGTTTCTGTTGCTTTTATTGGTATGCTTCCTGGAAGCTCTTGCTTTTATTTGTTTTGCTTGATAAAATTCAGTTTTTTTTTTTGTTTTTTTTTTTTTAGAAAAAATCTGTAAAAAGATTATTTTCTACAGATGCTACAGATGTTTTCTACAGATGCTGTAGAAAATAATGGTAAACATTTAATGTGCTGTGTATGTACAGGTAGCGGAGCAGCCCACACAGTCATTCATCTTAAAAATCTACGACACCTTTCAGCACTGACATCAGTGAACTTCACTTTACAAGATCAAAATCTTATTGACCATAGTTTGAGCCCATAACCATCTTTTCAGTTTATTTTCACAGCAACTTCTGCTGACTGTCAACTGTTATTATGTGTAATATGTGTTGCTTGGTGGAGTCTGGCTGCAGGGAGGAAACACCATCTGCACGCTGAGGCAAGACCCCCACATTTGGTAAACACATCCGCTGTGACTGACAGAGACACTCCTTTTCGCTGAGGAGAGATAGAGGGTGCGTTTGTGTAGCTGAGTGGGCCACCCACTCAGCCAGCGCAAACAAGGAGAGGCAACCGCTGCTGCCATGCCATGTGGGGAGGATGGAAAAAACTGCATTATTCTACCCAAGTCATGTTGACAACGCTGACTTCACGTGATGACAGGTCCCTGTGAGGAGCTATAGGAAGTGCAGTAGTATCTCTTAGGACTGTCACTCTGGCCCTGAATGATAAACGTGATGAGGAAATCAGATTTTTATGTAGGAGGGCTATGCTTAACTAAAATCTAGGTTCCGGTGCACATACACGAATTAAGAGAGTGTCCAGCAGGTAAACCTTTGAAAACAAAAAAAATCATATTGATAGATTCTGGAAAAGATATTCTTTTAAGAGCTTTTAACAAGATAATATAACTTTTTGTGAAAAAACTATATCAGACATAAATAACTATTCCAAGCTGGGTGTTTTTAGATGTCACATATCTTATATCACAAGAATATGAGCTTTTTATTGATGAGTTGTAATCTGGCTGTCCTCTACCATCTCTCTGCCCAATCACCCCACATCCCTCCCTCATCTCTCTCCTCCTCCAGGCAGCCAGTCAAAGAGGAGGTGAAGAGGGAGCTGTCACCGTGGAGTAGCGCTATCTCCCCTGGAGCATCAGGCTTCCTGTAACATCATCCCCCCAGGTTATGATCAGGGTCAGGGCAACAGAGATGGTCGAGGATCGGCAGGGAGAGGAGGGAGGAGGGAGGAGGAGGAGGAGGAGGGGCCGGAACAATGGGCCGGATTGTGGCTCTGCATTTTCTTCCCCCCTTCGGCTTCAGCACAGACTTCCTTCTGTAACATAATATGAGGTCAGACAATAATCACAACCCCCAGCCGTGCAACCCTGTGCACCTTGTAGCCTTAGTAAGCCATCAGTCTCTCCAGTCTCTCATCAAGAGGATAGTTGGCACACATCCCAGAGATGCCTCTTTTTGTGGATAACTCCTCAATATCAACACTTACAGCTGGATACAAGATGAAGCGTTCAAACTTAAGCACAGTATAGTTTTAGCTGTTTTTACCGACATGTAAACAGAGGATTAAGAGTTTAGGAAACCTGATATGATCAGGTATGGAGATAAAAATGTTTGATAATCTTTCTGTGATTACCGTAAAGGGATTAATTAATCTCATATGAGGCACGGCAAAGATTCTTTTTTTCAGTAATGGTAACACAAAACCTCATTTGTAAAGTTCTCATCTTGAATCTACAAATCTATAATCCTCTGAATTTCACTACGTACTGTATATATTGATTTTTGACTGGTGGAAAAATATCTGCCCACATGAATAAATAATTGTACCAGCTTTACTTCAAATATAAAACATTAGCTCATATCAGAGTAGCTGCTCTTGTTTAACTTATGCTCCACAAATGTTTACAAGAATGACACAGGTCCTGACATAACTTGTCAGGCTAGTGTATGTTTTTAAATGATATTAAAAACAGATTATTATTATTGATATATATAGTCGACTATTGTCCATACAATGTCTGACAAAAAACTTGAAATTGTGTGAATGTCCAAATCCAGCAATTTTGCATTGTACCTTTGAACCTGTTTTCCAGGTGTCGTGATGTGTATTTATGTCCATTACTACATTTTTGTTGTAATGGTAATTGATTTTGATACATTTTTGAGTGGTTTTAAATAAATGTGTGACATGTCACCTGTATTCTGCTGTGTAAAATAAATTCCCTATTACCTGCTATACAGTTATTGAATTTTCCAGTTGGATTACTTTTGATTTGGGGACATGCTTAAATCTTCATTAAAGTTCTCATGAACAATTATGATTAGCATTCAAGATAGACACTTCAGATTTGACGAAAGTGTTGATTGAGTGTGTGTAATGGCTCTGCTGTTGAGGTCTAAGGGGTCAGTTGTAGATTTTGGAAGTGGTATGTCTGATATTGTTTAGTTTGTTTTTGTTGGAAACAGTCAGCGTGGTAAAGAGGCAGGTGGGACAGCACAACAGGATGGAGTGCAATGATGTGATTCATACTGTTGTTAAGAGTAATAATCAAGCATTAAGGTGATGTGATATTTCTGGCAGCACCTTTTCCTCTCTCTGCTTTCAGGTTACATTGTACTGATCACTGATGAAAGTCTGTAAATGGATTTTTAAAAGAAATGTAGAATATACTGAATCTACTAAACTGGAAACTGGTAAAAAAAAACTGCGGAGATTGTCACCATCCAGGATGTACGCCGCTTAAACAGCTATAGTATGTTGGTGGCTCAAACTATTGTCAAAATGGAAAATGCATTCCTTACTGCCTGGCTTAACCGAACCTCATTTAAGTATGCTGTTGTTCATCAAGAAAACCAACTTCTGAACCTGAATTCTTTTAAACACACTAGCCACAATTTCAGTAGAAAGTCTGAGAAGGGTCGGTTATGTCTTCTAAGATCGAAAACTAATTAGTTACGGTTTTATTCAGAGATTCCTCAGATTGGAACTTGTCATCAATCTACATCAAATTAATTCATAATCCAAAAAGTTTCAAACTGCAAGCGAATTTTGTTTATATTATTTGATATGGTGTTGCGTGAATATCTAACTTCTATCTTTTTTGGGGTCTTTTTTTTTTTCAACTGAGTATGTCATCCACTCATTTATTTTATTTATTTTATATTCCTCATGTTTCCATGGGTAGATCTTGTCTTGTGTTTATTTGTGCATATTAACAGACCCCAGGAAGCTGAGGCAGAAGCTAATGGGGATCCTAAACAGTAAACAGTCTTTGAAATTATTGCCACAGGCTCGATCTTGGCTGTAGAATTCTTGTGGTAACGCTCGTCTTTTCATTTTGGCTGTGGCTGGAAAGCAAATTTCTTACATGTTAATAGTCAGCAACCCAAACTTAGAGAAGCTGCCACCTGAAGCAAGTTTTAAAACCTGAAATGGCAGGAGACTGAGAGGAAGCAAGTGAAATTCATTCATTTACGACTCAACAACTTGACCTTTGCTCTCCTGGTGTTCCCACAGGTGCAGTCGTCCCCTATTTGTGATATCAGTGCTGACTGTCCAGTGAACCTTTTTCATGGCAGGTCACACAGTAAGATACACACAGTTGTAAATCATGAAGTGGGCAATGGGTGAATTCCATTTAGCCTATTTGATCTCAGCGTCCTCTTGTAGATAATGCTGGCTCACCGTCACACTGTCATGACTTACTGGGACAATTGAATAGAGCCATCCTTAATGCCAATGTTTGCTGGGAAAAAGGCCTATGTCTTTCCACACACGAGCTAAACTACCACACTAAAAGACTCACTGTGCAGTATATCACAAGAATCTACAAGTTATGTTCCTGTGATCAAGACGTTAGCACCCAAAATAACTTGTTAACACCTAGCCAGGACATTTCTTAATAACAGACAGATGGTAAGTCAACTTCCTCCTGATACTGTATATAAAGGCTAAAGGATTGACACAGTTAGTTTTGGCTGAGCAGGTCTTACTAACTCTCACGTTGTCCCCTGAGAGATGACATATTCAGAAATGAATATTGTGGATGCTGCCAGTGAGCAGCAGCACAATGTGAGGAAACAGGCTGCGCATGAAACAGTGACGCACTTGCGGCCAGGTGGCCGTGCAACCCCGAGTTCGAGCCACGCTGGTACTGTCAGGCTGTAACGGTGACAGAGAGGAAGCTGCTGTTTTCTATCAAAACAAAAGTGTTGATAAAGACTAGGGGGTGGGGCTTCCAGATAAAGAAAAATATCAAATGGTTGATGTGGCTTTTACCACACTGAAGGGAATCAGACTTATTCCATGACTGTGTTCACCTCCAGGGCTTATGGGACTTGTTATTTCAGTTTTATAAAACAGTTTCAAACAAGTTGTAAAAGCTATTGTAATGTCAACTCGTCAGAAAGCTTCAGGTTTACTTTTTTAATTTTTGTCTAATTAGGTTAAAAGTTGACATGATCAAGGCCTTTAGGTATGTCTGCCTTATTACCTCACCTTGAGGTCCTGTCTTTTAGAGTGTAAGTGTTAAAATCCCAGATAAGGTAGTATTCTTGTCATCACATCCATGGGTGATCATGGCAGGTTTACTCACAGAGTTGACTGTTGTGCAGAGTTGACGACTCAGATCTTAGCATTTCACAGCAAAGATCTGAGTCGTCAACTCTGCACAACTCTGCTTTGCAGCCGAGTTCATTAGAATGAAAAAAGAGATCTCAAGTTTAACCATTTCAAAGTGTGAATGAAAGTGGGTTTGCTCTACATCCCCATTATCTGTGCAATTAATCTGGTGAGACAGGGGCATCCTCTGAAGAGCCCTGAGTGTCATCAGGATCACTGGCACCCTTTTCAGATGCGTTTATCAGTAGACAGCCATGTGGACAACTGATAAAAGGTGACGCCAACCAAGAAGAGACTGTGTCTCTGTCTCCTGCGCCTCCTGTTTCCTCCTGACCAGTCCTTTTGAACAGATAGATCAAAATGGCTCACACAGTTGCCCTTTTGTTGTAAACATTTAAGCTGTGTGCCTTTCCTTTCAGGCCCATGTTTGGTAGTTTTGTCATGTGCACCAACTAAGCAAAAGACACTCTTTTAAAAAAACACCATTAAATATTGACAGGAGACATTCTTGCCAAAGCTTTGGGTATTTTCAAAAACATTCTAATGTTTAAGGTCAAAGCGGCTAAAAGTCTAAAGCTTATTTGGAATTCACCTTTTATATTTTTGACCTTCTCAGGAATGTCCTCACAAACTACTCATTAACATTTACCATGAATGCAGCTACACTATTTCTCTATGTACACTAGTGTAAATCCAAACTGTGGGTTAGAATGTCTTGTGGGACATGGTAAATGCCAGACTAAGGCTGTTGATTCTTCAGCAGGAGGAGGATAAAAGACTACACAGCTGAATCAGTTTAACAGCAAGCCAGGGTAGTCGCCTTCCGCTGGGCTTATTTTCACCCAGCGAGGGTGACTTACCATGGACGACACTCTCGTCTCTGCAGCACGACACTTGACTTCTGACATCAAACGCCACAGACTAAAACAATCTCATGAGCCACTCATTTTCTCGTTCTGGAGCCTTTGACCTGATGAGATGGAGTTTGCTCAGATGTCACAAAACTGGAGATTTTCAAACTTTCCATTATTATGAGCACTTTTAGGACTTCAATCCTGGACTTCAAGCTTTGCTTGATATAGCCCAGGTCTCATAGAAAAGGTTACAGAAGCCACTGTGTGCTGCTCTTTAACGGAAGTGGGGGAGTTCACCAGATGTACATTTGAGAAAAACACAATTAGTCTTCATCCTTGAAGTCTTTCCTTGTGTAAAAGTATAAATCTCACATTTGTTTTGCTTAGCAAAGTTTGTTTTTAAGTGTGGGATGGGCTCATTGTGGCCTCTTTTAGTCGTTGAGGAAAACACCCACTACAACTGCGGTTCTCAGCAACACTGTGATGTACCAGTGGGTAATAGGTGAAAAAGATGCTACACTAGTAGTAAGGCAAGGCTTGATTTTTCATGCTTGAACTTTGAGATGGTAATTGACAAAACAACCTCTGCTGATGACATTAAAAGCTCTGGAATAATGAGTAAGTGGACCTTGACATAGTTCGGTCAATTTCTCAAATTGTTTTAATGCTGTAGTATGCTAATGAGTAAAGGAACACACCAGGTTTCCCAAAATAACATCCTATAATCATTAATGTCATTCTTGTGACTTTGCTGATGGGACACTTAAGTTGACCTAAATCAGTAATGTATTTGCAGCAAAACAGGAAGGTGTGTCAGCACTACCAAAGTCTTTCTGGAAACTCGAGTTGGCAATATCAGCAAAGCATAAGGAAGACAGATTTTTGAGTAAGAACAAGTATTTCAGACTGTGTTGTGAAGCTTGCTGCTGCTGATCTTACTAGACTGTGTTACTAAACCAATAGAGGTCTCTGTTTTTTTTTTTTCTTTCTTTTTTTAGAAAGGAAGCAAGTGTTTGCCTTTAACCACAGCTGACAGGGACATTCATAAGACAGCTTGATCACACCTCCTTTGTTCTATCAGTCTTTTCAGGGAAGAACATCCTCAAGTGGCGGCTGAGTGGAAAAGGAGGGGGAAGAAAAAGATCCTGGCAGAGCCACTTTTTCTATCATGCCAGTAAATTCTTTCATGGTGACTGAGGAGCCGGAAGCCAGGGCCCCTCACTTATCAAAGGGAGGAGGGACAGATGAAGGCCCGTTCGTTCCATTCAGACACTTGACGAGAGTCGGACAGTCCAAAGGTAATCCTCTCCCAAGTCCCTCAGGTGTGTCAAACCCAACAAAGGATTAGCACATACTTCCTCTATGTCAAAAGTAGCAGCAAAGTTTTCCATTTCTTATTAACTGTGTTTTTCTTACCGCCCTCCAACCCTCCAGCCCCCATCCCACCTTGACTCCCACATTGTTGCATAAGCAATAAGGTGAAAAGGTGTGTAAAGTTACCACTGATGGAGTAATGGAAGGAGAGCTAAGTATGACAAGGGTGAGTCATATTGTATCATTTCACATGTTGAGATTTCACAACTCTACCACCATTTCCCAGCATACAGGTGGTCCTTTATCCAAATACCTCTGTAATCATTAACCTTATAATATCTTGGTCTTGATCTTTGGACCTTAATCATACCCTCTA